GGTAGACGTCATGCATTTTGGACACATTAAGTCCGTCAACCACTTATGACGAGTGTGATAGATTATGGCCAATCATCCATTCATTCATCCCATCAAACGAAGTCCAGCAGTAGGGCGTTAAATAAGCTAAAGAATTAAATATTATGCTATTATATAAACCTTCTATTTAATCTATACTAATATTATAAAGAGGAAAGACTTGATTGTTTGTTTGTTTTATACCGAATAGGCTCCGAAACTACTGAATCGATTTAGATGGAATTTGGTAAGAATATTGTTTGAGACCTTGAGAAGGACATAGGATAGTTTTTATCCCAAAAATCATCCGTTAAGGGGCCGAAAATGGGGATGAAAGTTTGTATGCGAAATCAATTCAATTAGAAAATAGTTTCAGAACAATCAATTATAAAAATATGGAATTAAGTCTTGAAAACATTGCAATATTATTTTATGTAAGAGAGTAAAAAAGTGATTAGTTTTAAATTGGTTTATTAAAAAAGTACATATTGAAGACAACGTACAGGCGTACTTAAAATATTAAATTATTTGTATAGTTGAACCTCAACCACTCATTCATCGATTCTAGCCTATTTAATCATAGTTACACATTTTAAACTCTATTCTAGTGAAAATAACGTATATTTTACAATTTAAATTTCAATCAAATGAGACGACAATATTGCACTAGTACTCGATATGGTAGACGAAGAAGATAGCATCAAGCGCTCTAGACTCTGGACTAGAGTATGAACTGGAGTTGCACTCTACATACCTATGGCGTAACAAAATGAACTAAAACGAGACGGGTATATTTTATAGGGGATGAAAACTACAGGGTAGATATATGCAACCTGCGTTGAAGTGAGATAATGGTGCACAGTAGTGCATTTCATATATCGAAAGGATTAGTATCTCCTATATTATTATGACACCCTAGTACCCCATGTTTTTGATTCAACGTGCCTGGGTAGAGTTAAACAAAATGGCTGGTTACTTTTCGATATATTAAGGAGCTTCCATATATATATGTTTCTCCGCCTTGATTGTGTAAGTTACACCGCAGGTCATATAATGACGACACGTTTGGCTCAGTTTGCAGTGACCCTCTTTGCTGTGCCAGCGGTCGCGGGTTCGAGTCCTACTGGGGGCATTTATTTGTGTGATGAGCACGAATGTTTGTACTCCAGTCACGGGTGTTTATATTCATAATATGTATGTATTTAAAGTTATATATGTTTAGTGTATCAACTATCTGGTATCCATAACTCAAGCTTACCATGGATGTGCTGTGTGTTAATGTACCAACATATTTATTTATTTATTTACTATACTAGGTTGAATACACACATATTGAAATTACTCACTCCTTTGTAACTAGGTATGTTTAAAACCCGTGCAGATAAAGATTGGGATTTAAAATCGCAGCTCTATAAACCTGCACTATAACTGTATTGCATTGCACAAAACCATAAGGAAGAAAAGGACCTAAACTTATGATACTTTATTGTTGGAACTAAAAACTTTATGGTTAATACGTTGGCTGGAAAGAAACATCCAACGAATTTTTTTTTAATGAGTGAGTCAGCCAGTGAGAAATGCTGAGTTATTTTAGTGTTTTTTTTAGTGTATAGATATTGGTTTTTGTTGCAATTTTGAATTTAGTGGCACCACGTTTTTTTGCTTGTTACGTTTACTATTTTATTTAGTCTTGCTACGTTATGTCTCCGACTGCATTACACTGTTTTATCACAGAAAATTGTGGTAACGTCTGTGTTTTTTATATCTATAACTTGTTTTCATCTTTTTAGTTTTTTTGAAGTGAAAACTTCTGTAGGTAGAGGTTTGGATGGGGAGTTATTTCATGTAAGTCGTCATCGACATGGCCACGTGACATGTCAACGCTAACACTCAGAGTGCCGATAGATGTCAGAACCAGATAAATGTAAACGGTTTTAATTTACAAATTTTAATTTAAGATCAAACAATTAATTTGAATCTCCAAAAATAACAAATGATTGTTTATAATTTTAAGTTTTTACTTCTGTTGGTAGTCTCATGACTGCTTTTTTTACACAGTCAGGTTTTATTATTATAATACTTTACGAACTCGTCGGACACGTTGCCATGTGTCTAGAAATGGCCAAGCATAAATCATTTCCTACGCATTTATAGTAGCCTGGTAGCTGATGTTTTGGTTTAAAGGGGACTATACAAAATTACAGATATTACCTACAGTTCATGCCTTTTTTTGATACAACAATGTTTTGCCCATAGGTGTGTTTATTGTCTCTTTCTCACAATAGAAAATATATGAAAAGATGCCGATGTAAGGGTAAGATGTAGTAAGAGGGTAAAAAGTAATATTAGTAAATTCTTTTATATAAAAACTAGATTTCATTTAATTTTTTCTACAAATAACGGTACAGTTTTCATAATTTTCAGTGTAGTAACAGAATGAGCGATAACTTTATTTCAAAAAAGCTCACAGTGATATAGTGTACGTTTTCATTTTGCACGTAAATTCATGTGCTGAAGCGAGAAAAGCATATGTATATCTGCATTAAAGGGAGATGCAAGACTGTAAGATAGGACCACCCATAGGATGAGCATAGTGTATCTCCTATTTGGTACTGATTACCTGGTACCTCATATTTTGATTTAAACGTGACTTTCAATTTAAGGCAAGAGACTCGCAGAAACGACTGTCCGGCATAACGGCAACAAATCAAATGCCGCAATCAGTTATAACTTATAATTAAAATTTATTCCTTCCTCGTTTATGGCTCATTCTATTAGTGAAAATAGTATCAAAATCCGTTGCGTGGTTTTGAAGAAGTAAGCAGAGAAACAGACAGACGTAGACAGCGACTTTGTTTTCTACTTTATATTATATTATACTATTATGTATTGGCAACTTACCCTCGCTTCGATTTATATAAATAAAAATTGTTATTATGAGCGTACCTTAAGAGATAGACACATACGATCTCGAACTTTTCTGTAGCTTAATAAAGACTTATAATTTTCTAGTATAATGTTTTGATGTAAACAAATTGCCAAATTTAGGGGCCATTTATTGTCTTTACAAAACTTTTTTTTCTTCTAAAGATATCAAGTGGGGTATCAAAGTAATGGTTTTTAAAAAGCCATCACAAACTATAACTATAATATACAACTTGTATGTTTAAAAGTAATTTGTGGAAGAAACTTTTTCATTAAATTACAAATGTCTGACTGAAAAAATAAATAGATGAGATGAGATAAGTTGAGGAAGAAATAGTATTATGCAGTCTGACACTGTACATACATATATGTATGTACATAGGAACATTGTGTGTTGTACATATCCCTTGATCTTTTTAGTTATATATATATATATATATATATATATATATATATATATATATATATATAACAACATTCTTCATATAATAATATCTCGGCAAATAGCTGAACGGATTTTTTTTTAATTTAGAGCGGAAAACATTCTTCATCAAATCACCTTTCAATACAAAAGTTTTCACCTTTCAATAAAAAAGTTTTCACCTTTCAATAAAATCGGTTCGCCGTTTGGGCGCTACGATGCCATAGACATAAGACAACACACAAAACACAAGATGAGATAAACACGTTAAATTTATAAATCCCTTCTTTTTGCGTTAGGGGTTAAACACTGTTAATAACTCGATTTTCAATGTGAGAAATCAAATATACAAACTACCGGTACTTGAATAAGCAATCAAAACACTTGAGGAATTTTTATCAGACAAATTAATTGAATTCCATATAAATTATTGCTTCGAGCTCGAAGTATGTTTCCTACTTCCGTTTGCCACCTCTTGACTTTTAAGCAGCATTTATTTTGATACGCTGCTTAGGGGATGTAACGTGAAGGTAATATTAATTATATAGTAAGTTTTATTTTTTAAGTTTTCTTGTATGAAATCTTAAAAAATAAATATAAACGAGAACTCTTATAGGATCACTCGTGGTGTCTTTTTGCGCTTCATAATATTTTCTTTTAGTCCGAATATATATAACTAATACAGTTAAACATAATATCGTCGTTGCGACTTTGAAACCTCATAACTGAAAAAAATATAGTGAAACCAACTACATCAAAAAATATAAATATCAGCTACATGTTTTCCTGCTTTTTACTGTGATATTATTACATGAAATGAAAAGTAGTATCTTAGTAAGAAAAAATAAAAACATTATCAGATAACACATAAGATAATTTGCATGCGCTTTATGTATCACATCATTGCTCTTGAAACAAAATGCCTACAATTATTGAATTAAAAAACTATTTATTTTATTACAAAAACAAATATATTTCTCTGAACACACATCTTAAGACATTATGTAGCAATTGAATCACAAGTTAGAATAAAAAAGTTACAAATCAAACTACCATTACTTTTTGAATTTAACTATGTAATTATGCATTATGAATGATAACGCGTTATAAAATGGATGGTAATCCTGATCTATTACTATTTTGAGTTCCTGCAAATGTTTATACTTGCTCTCAGTAATTTTTATTAGAGCTTTATACAGTCCCCTTGGAGATATAAAACCATTTCTTTGGTTGTTTCTACGCTGTGGAAGTATCGACCACTCATTGACATGTCACCTATAAAATATGGATCCATCGGATAAATATTTAAGACCCTTAATTTCCACCACGACAGGATCTCCCTTCTTTTTTCCAGGCCGTATGGATTTTAGGTTCGATTCCATCTCTTCGAAATTGAGAAAGAAATCATAGTGAACAGATTTGATATCATAGGTCTTTTGAGGTCGAGCTTGTCTCATCCGTGCGATGTAATCACTGGGAGCCAATATTGGCGATTTTATGTATTGCTCAACAGTGGAGTGAACACTATCTACCTCCATCATAGTGTGCCCTTTTTCCAGATAAAGTTGTTCAATACAAATTTGCCTCTTTTGCGCCAAATCGCTTAGGGAACTAGACAAAATTCGGTTTCGGTTTAGGTGTCCGCATCCATCAGAACAGACATCTGTAGACAGTAGTCTATTAAACAAAATGTGAATTCCTTAGCAGTTACATTACCATCTGCTTCGTGCCAAAAGTAAATTTTCACATCTTTGGATAACACGTTATAAACCGTAAAGTTATGACATTGTAATTTTAATTTGTAGTACAATGCACTAGCCAATAGCTTTGGGGCGAGCAAAACACTGTGAACGTCGACTGTTATAACCACATCCTTTTCGTTTGCACTTTCTATGAAATTCTTTTTGGCTTCACGGGCCTCAGTTTTCTTCGCAATATGGCTTTCGTATTCTTCTTTCGAAATGTTACCCGTTTTATAACTGCAACACATGCGACTCTGGTCTTTGCGCGGAAGATGAATGCCGATATTTTCGTTTGTCAGTATCTTCGAAAATGTCCCTCTAGAGGCAGCTTTGTAGTGGTTTTTAATACACCACTCCTTAAAAACTTGATGCATGTGGACTTCAGATCAAAAAGTCGATTCAACATATTTTTTTGAGCTAGAACGACAGTAATGACTTGGTACTTTTGGTAAAAGATCCAACCATGTTTTAATAGTTCTTGTCAATTCAACGTGCCTTCCTGGCCTAGCAATAATATGTGAACTTGGTGAAGTGTTTTCTGCAGTTTGATCAATTAAATTTTCCTCGAAAGTATCTCTCTAGTCCAGCGACGACACACATACACACACTTAAGATATTTTAAGAACCAACTTTTAATTAGCAAGCACATTCAAGATTTTGAATTTAGTAAATAACTTACGATTGAAACGCCATATTCACATGACAGTTTTTGCATTCGATAGCGCATTAAAATGTAAAATCAGTAAGCATAAAAAAGTAATTTTGCCAAAAGTGACACATAGGAGGTCTTAACTTCGCAACGACGATATATACCTTGATATAGAGCTAGATAAATAACAAACCCTTTGTGTAGGTACTATGTTTAGGTATTTGTATAATTGAAACTACAATTTAAAAAAATCAGGGGTAAACACTCGAAGCTTTATTAAATAAATTTAATAGTAAACTAAAATATAACGAATAAGTAGGTACCTACTTTAAATTTCCATATATTTTAAAGAACTTGGTCAATTTTTGATCATGTGATTATTCCTCTGTTGAGATAACAGACTCCATATTTCTTATATTTTCTTATTAAAAATTACATAAAACACAGCACTGAGCAAAAAATACTTTTGTCGGTAATCTCAGTTCATAAAAGTCAATCTCACACTTTTAAGTTAATATTTCATTCTCTTTATTTCTAAACCAAAGAGTTCATTTAATGAAGTAATTTAAGTGAAAGTTAATTTTCCAGCTATAGCGTGATTAATAAATAATAGTTATCTAACTTATGTAATGTTACAAGGATCACTCGTAACATCCGTATCCGTAAAATGTACTATATTACTGAAATCAGATTATTTATTATTTCATTAAAATTAATACGGTTTAATTAGGTAAGTATATTTTTTACGGAAAATTGATTGCTATAAATTATTAAAAACAACTCGGGTTAATTATATTGTGATTGATATTTGGAACGAAGATTTAGTACTTAAATAGGTAGGTACTAATTATCATCTACCTTCCTCTGAAAATACTGTTCGTTATAAATAAATATGTTGGGACATTAACACACAGCACCATCTAGTTACATGGTGAGCTACGGGGCTTGTGTTATGGATATCAGATAGTTGATAGACTACACATATATAACTTTTGTATAATAATATATATTATAAATATAAACACCCATGACTCCAATCATGGGTGGTACAAACATTCGTGCTCATCATACAAGTGAATGCCCCCAGCGGGACTTAAACCCGCGACCGTTGGCACAGCATACTTGCTCTGCCAACCCTACCGGGTCGCTGCAAACTGAGCCAAACGTGTCGTCAAGTTTATTAGTTTAATAAAATCCAAATCTAAATAAATACTTTTGATTATGTAGACATCTACCATTGCATGCACTGACAGGCGAGGTGGGCAGTACAAAAAGAACGACTTAACTCATGAATGGTTCGTGTGATTGATGTAGGTTATTTTTGATAGTCGTAACACGCGAGTAGAGCTGGAAGTGAAAGCTAATAAGTAATAACTAAATTGTTTCATTATGTTCATGTGACCTCCTCTTCATCATTTATTTTATATAATGTTATTATTTTATTATTAGAACTTCTAAAAATATTAATCTAATATCATCTTAAAATGTCTGAGAATAGATTAATTTCCGTGATCATCATCACATCGAGTTTCCTACCTCAGCACTGCTATACACTCTTCTCCAGATAAGGTATAAAGGAAATAAAGTAGTTCACTTGAAATATGAGACGTTTACAGTTTTTAATAGTATCACGAACACATTCCCAAAATGTAAAGGCTTATAAGAAAAAAATCGACATTTTCATAGAGAAAAAAAATTAGATTGATATTTTATTATCCAAAAAAATATTGTATTGTAATCAGCCCTTTCTAACGTTCCACGGCTGGGCTTCCCTTCAATAGGAGTAGGATCAGGTCATAGTCCACCACGATGGACAAGTGCGGGCGGACTGAGCATATCTTTCAAAAACTTGCTAAGTTCTCTCTGATATGCAGGTTTTTCGACGATATTTTCCTTCACCGTACGAGACAAGTGGTAATCATATTGAAAATGATTTGCACATATAAATGATGATGTTCTCCTAGCCGATTCCGGCCACGGCGGCCAATCTCATTGACACTAGCCAACTGCGCAGGAGATATTATAGTGCACAAGTGTACGCGCAGACACAACGTGCACTCTCTTTTCCTGTCACTCTCATATTCTGATGGGACGACCACTCGACACGACCAGTGAGAGTTAAGACGCAGGACCGGGAATCGAACCCAGGACCTCCGGGTATGCAGCCGTACATGCTAGCCACTACACCACTGAGGCAGTTATAAATATAAACAAACATCAGAGGTTCGAGACCCGAGAATTGAACCCATTTCACTCGGCAGTTCCGGTTCACTTAAGCGAGCGTTACCACTGAGCTACCACTGCTTTTTTATTTGGAGGAACATTAATAAAATTACTATAGATAAGTTAATATCTCTTCATATAAGAAAGGATGAAAAAATAAAACACGAGTTATAATATGTATGATTTATTGAATGTAAATGGCTGAATACAGGATATACAGTATACATATACAGTTGAGGCTAGGTTCTAAGGCGTTTTATTTTTCTTTTATATAAATCTTGGCGTTTTAGGTTGAGGCAGTGTTTATTTTATACTCTAAAAATCTCCTATAATTTGTAAAATTGCAAAATTTGTATTTTAAAACGTTTACTTTTGTGACATTTTAATATATTTTATTTTGTGAAAAATTGAAAAAGCTACAAACACAACTTAAATGGGTTTTAATCTCATATTGTCTAGCTCTTTTTAAATTATAATGAAATATCTATTTATTATAAACAAGTACCTGTTAAATAACTTGCCCACAACCAAAAATAAACAAAAAAATATATAGTTTAAAATAAGCATTTATTAAATGTTGAGTTGATATCATATGAATAGATGTCCTTAAAGTGAACATAGATTGATAATGCCATATAAAATATAAAGATAAAAATTATAATGACAGGGTTCGGCCAGTTGAGTGATAAAGTGCACGAACACTACAAATTCCATCATATTGAGAAACATTTTTAATTCACAGTTCAAAAGTTATTAATAAATCTTAGAAGAAAAAGGTAAAAAAAAATTGTTAGTAACAGTTTACTTCCACTAAATATAAAGTGAACAGTTTTCGGCAAAACTGGTGAACCCTTTACGGATGAGAGTAGAAGAGCAGGCCTTAGCGCTTGGTAACCTGCTGCCAGTCTTCTGGATTGCGAGCTGGAAAAAAATGGACATTAAAATATATATTTTACTACATTTTCGCAAAAATCTTATATTATAAAGAGGAAAGAATGTTTTTTTTTGTTTGTTTGTTTGTATCGAATAGGCTCCGAAACTACTGAACCCCGACTTAGATGAAATTTGGTAAGAAGATAGTTTGAGACCCTGGGAATGACATAGGATAGTTTTTATCTCGGTAATATCCCTTAAGGGGGTGAAAATGGGGAAGTAACCTAGCGACGAACCCTAGCGAGGTGAGGGTGAATCTCTAGTTGCATATAAAATAAGAGCACATAGGTTTTAGTTATAATATAAAAAAATATGCATATATTGATACTTAGAATTTAGGTTGTCTATGATAATTAACATGTATATGCATTAAATAACACTCACGTTTCTCTTCACGTCGCGGTGGTGGAGGACGGCGTTCACGGTCATCACGGCGGGGTCCATCGCGGTCATCACGGCGCGGCCCATCACGGTCGTCACGGCGCGGTCCATCGCGGTCATCACGGCGCGGTCCATCACGGTCGTCACGACGCGGGCCATCACGGTCATCACGACGTGGGCCATCACGGTCGTCACGCCGTGGAGCATCGCGTTCATCACGCCTTGGACCGTCACTGTTAATATATGTTTTAATTTAATTTTGTTTGGCTTATTATATTCATTCTTTATTAAATAAAAACTTGAACTGCACTCCTCAAATCAAATTTAAACAAAAGACATCTACAAATGGTGGAAGATTTTCGTTTAAAAAAACATAATTAAAAGCTAAATATACGGTTTAAGAATTTATTTCACAAGAAACAAGATAAATATAAGCATACATGCGATACACAAAATTATATCTTACCGGTCATCTCTCCTGGGCGGGTCGCGGTCGTCCCGGCGCGGCGGGTAGCGGTCGCGGTAGCCGTCCCGCTCGCGGTCGCGCGGCGCGTAGCGGTCGTCGCGTCGGTCGTCGCGCGGCTCGTCGCGGCGCCCTTCGCGGGGTGCGTCCTTTGAGCGCCAGGTTGATAGACGTTCCTGAAAATTATAATATTCTCATAGAAACTACCCTCTTTATTTTTATGGTTATTTAATTTGATGTAAACAAAGATTTCTCTTAAACAATGCTTTGATCATTAATATTTTCTTAGATTTACGCAAATATTCGACATTTTAAATAATACTACCTTTTTGGATTTTTTCGCGGATTTATTTTAATTTTTGGTTCTCGACTTTTCGATTGCTTTACAGCAATTATAGTCATAGCACATACTACAGTTGTAGACATCTCAAACGTTATGATGTAGTTGTTATAGACTGTATGCACCCATGTAATATAATAACATATGAGATGTCTACAATCTTAATCTCTCTCGTGATCATGATTGCTGAAAAGGTAGCTCAAATCGTTAAGTTATAAAAAAAATCAAAATATTTCAATAAATCAATTAAAAGTTAATAATAATAATAAAACTGTACAAGAGGCGGCCTTATCGCTAAAACAGCGATCTCTTCCAGGCAACCTTTAGGTGTAGGAGATAGCAAACTGCAAGAGGGAAGGGGTGTAAATAATAGAGTAAATATATCACAATATATAAAAAAAGTAGACTAGACTTACACAGATACACATATCTATATATACATATATATTATATATAATAAAATATAATAAAAAATAAAAACAAAAGACAAGACAAGACAGCTAACAAAGAAAGATAAATTAAAAAATAACAATAATAATAATACTCTACTACTAAGTTGGTATGTATTCTTAAATTGACTATGTGTTTACGTACGGTAGGTGCTGGTGGTGGTTCAGCGGGGCCACGTCTCCAGCTGCCGGACTCTGGCCCACTAGAACGACCCACGTATCCACGTGGCCTGCAAAAATATAAGTAGTATTACTAAAGTTTATCAAAATATGACTTGATCATAATATGGAAAAATATACAAGATCTTTCCCTTTACTTGTACTATAACACATTACTACTTTGCCAAACATGATTCTAAGTTAACTAGAAGTATTATTTGATACGGTTTTGATGACTCTTATGAGTACCAAATTATACGTCATAAACGGCTGTATCTTTTGTTCATGTTAATTTTTTTCTTATCTCCAAAAAGTTTGCAGAACTGAGTACGTATTTCACATTAATTTCAATATGATTTAAGCTTCACGCGTTCCTGAAAAAAAGGATCTTGACAGATATAGAGACAGACAGATGGACAACGAAGTGATTCTATAAGGGTTCCTTTTTTCCTTTTGAGGTATGGAACCCTTAAAAGCATAATCACCTCTCCCTCTCGCGCTCGCGATCAGGCTCGCGGTTGGCGGAGCGCCAGGCGCCCTCGTCGCGCGGCCGCTCGTCCCGGTAGGCGGGGCGCTCGTCCCGGAATGCGGGGCGCTCGTCCCGCGCGCTGCGCTCCTCGCGCGGTTTCTCGTCGCGTCTGCTAAAGTTTTTAACATTATACCTACCTACTTTCTTAGATTTACGAAAATATTTGACATTTTAAGTAAAACTACCCTTTCAGATTTTTTCGCAGATTAATTTTTATTTTTGGTTCCCAACGTTTCATATGGTTTACAGCAATCATGGTCACGGAAAAGACTAAGGTTTTAGATATCTCAAAGGCATTATATGCATAGTTGTTACAGACAGCCTACTCACAAAATAACAAAATGATTTCAAAAAATGTAAAAACTGGCACCAAAGTACCTTACAATATTTATTAATTTTAAACATATTTATAATTTTAATAAGATTTTTGCTGTAAAACAAACGAAACGTCGGGAACCAATAATCTAAATAAATCTGCGAAAAAATCCGAAAAGATAATTTTAATATATTACATAATATAATATCACTATACATACATTAAGACAATTATAAAATAACCTTTCGATAATAATATTTTTTCATGATGACTTTGTCAATAATGAATAAAATGTTACAAGAAATTATTATTTTTTAATTTTCTATGCTTACCTTTCATCCCTTGGTGGAGGAGCGCGACCGGGTGGTGAACGCGGACGTTCTTCCCGTGACGGTTCGCGTAAACGAACTAAAAAAAAACAATATTATACCCAACGATGGTGTTTGTCACTTTGTACAAAATTGCTTATTCTAAGACTAAGATCACTCACTCTTGCAGGATGTTAATTCTAAAAAACATTGAAGAATTTGTCTCAGACAAATCTCTTACATATCAGTATATTTTTGAGTATAATAATTTTGGGGTAAAATATAATAATATGTAAGTATTTTTAATGCTAAATCATAAAAAAATAAAAAAAAAATTTTGTCCAAAAAATTAAAAATTAATTTTTGGGGTGGACCACCACTTAGGGGTATGAAAAATATAGTTTACGTCCTATTCTCAGATCTACTGAATATACACACAAATTTCATAAGAATCAGCCAAGCCGTTTCGGAGGAGTTTTGTTACAAATACTGTTACACGAGAATTTTATATATTAGATTTAGATACTCACTTGGCCTCCAAGTGTCCTTCTTCTCGGGTTCCTTGGGCGGTTCTTTGCCTTGACGCCAGCTGCTGCTGGTCGAGGTGGCTTTGGGCGGGTCGTGTTTGCGCGCGAGTTCGGCCTCCAGTGCGCGGCCCTTAGCCTCCGCACGTGCGAGCATTTCTTGTTGTTCCCTAGTTTGATAAATATGAGTTAAAATAATGTACTAATAATTATGCCCTTAAAGTTGAAAGATCATTAAAATCGGTTTAATTTTAAAATTATCAATTAAAAATAAATAATCTTTTCTCTTTACAATATTGGTGCAGAAATATATAATATTCATTTTTCCTAATATGACACAACTTGCAGCACCAAAACACACAAAACTATACCAGGTACAGAAAATCATTATTTGAATTATGATTTGAAATCTTGTTAAGCTATTTAACATATTATCTACTCTTACGAGAATATTGCCAAATATATAGCTTTTTACATAAATAAAAACGCATGAACACATTTATACACACTTTTCCTTTCTCTCCTTGAGAGCAGCAAGCTCCTCTTGGTGCTTCCTCTCCTTCTCCTCCCGCTCCTTCTTTTCCTGCTCCTCCGCGATGCGGCGCGCCTCCTCCGCCGCACGCTCCTCGGCGCGACGCTTCTCTGCCAACCACTGCCATCGAGACAAAATTATTGCAGATATGTAATTAAATTAAAATTAGCGTTATTTTATGTGTTATTTGTATGTACTTATATATATATATATGTTTGTTACTTTTTCACGTGCTTAAATAAGGTGGAACCTTGTTGGATGAATCTTTGCACACAAGTTGACTGTTAGGAACTTATGGATGATTTATTTTTATGTAAATCACCAATATTTACATAAAAAGCTAAAATGAAAAATAAAATAAAAATGTCAACTATTATAAGTATCGATCGGAATAGCAAGTTTATATCCTTAGTTATTATATTGGGTATAGTAATACAATAAAATTTGATACTGAATAAAACATTCTGAATTTGAATTTGTACGAATAACCCACTTCTTGGCGGCGTTTCTCGATGCGAGCCAGCTTGCGCTGAGCCAGGCGCGCCTCGCGCTCGGCCGCCAGCTTGGCCTGGAAGGCGGCCAGGCGCTGCGTGTGCGCCGCGCCGCGCTCCGACCGCAGCCGCGCCATGAACAAGTCACGGTGAGCCGCCATGCGGGACAGCCGGGACTCTGTCGCCACGTCGCGTGCGCGTGCCTCTGTTATATCACACAATATATGTATAAGTTACTTGTGACTAAAAAATAAAAATACTTTCTTAGATTAACGCGAATATTTGACATTTTCAATAAAAGTATCAGTCAGGCCAGTCTCTCCCGTGTCCAAGATTGCTGTAAAGCATTCGAAACGTCGGAAACCACAAAACAAAATAAATCCGCGAAAAAATCCGAAAATATAAAATGAAATAAAAATATAAAAAGTACTTCTAAAAGTCTAATTAAATTGAATATCATACAAAAATGAAGTTTGTGAAGGTTTATTTTTACCCTTTTTCTACCACAGTTGGAATTATACACCTTATGTATGGCACACCACAAGTAATATATGTATCTATCTATTCAGCCCTTTTTAACGTCCCACTGCAGGGCACGGGCTTTCCTTCAATCCGAAGGGGATCAGGCCATAGTCCACCACGCTGGCCAAGTGCGGGTTGGCAACTACACATGTCTTTCGAAAACTTATTAAGTTCTCTCAGACATGCATTCCTCACGATGATTTCTTTCACTGTAAGGCAAGTGGTAATCATGATAGAAATGATTTGCACATGAAAATATCAGAGGTGAGAGACCCGCGATATGAACCCGCTTCACTCGTTTTCCCAAGCGAGCGCGTTACCACTGGGCTACCACTTCCTTTTATACTTTTTTTTTATAGTTTGAATTTCTTATTTTATGTACTTTTATGGAAATTGTCACAGATATCTATCTACATAACAACTACAAGAAAATCATATAACACAATTTTACTCACCAATAAGCTGTTGGATCCGCTCCTTCTCTTGTTGTTCCCAGAATGCCTTATCCTGAACTTGTTTTTCTTCCAGACTCTTCTGTAGTAATGGGATCTCTTCTATACGCTTAGCGCGCTCAAAGTAGTCCACCTTAATAATTTGAAACGACGTATTAAAAAGTACAAAGTATAATTTTAAAGTTTATAAATTATACAGTAAGAAGTCTTTTAAAATATAGCACAAAATAAAATATTACCTTTTTCTCTTGAGATTTCAAACGAGCTTGCAACTCACGACGTTCTTTCATTAGTTCTTCAGCTTCGCGTTGAGCAATCGCTTCAGCATCCAACTTCTTCAAATCCTAACAAGAAATATAATAAGATGTGTCTTAAATTTTATAATGTATTTTCTTAAATCAATTATGAATGATAAAGATAATTTCATCTCTCCATTAGGCATTTCCAAAACCCTTTAATCTATTAATATTATATATATCAATGTCAGTCAATTTAGAAGTTTGTTTTTATCACAATGCCAATGAATATATTGTTCCAGACTAGCAAATAGAAAAAATTTCAGTCTGATGCACGCATCCAGGCACTTCAGTTTTAATGTTACTTATAGTTTTGAACTGGCCCTGAATGAGAAAATTGTCAGAGAAACCACTCATATTTTCCAAGTTACAAACCCACCTCCTCGTCCAGCTTTTGGAGGACCTTCTTCCCGTGCATGGTCTGCGAGATGTGAGCGATGCGCTCGCGCAGGTGCCGCTCCTTCATGGCGGCCAGCTCGGACGCGTAGCGCTTCTTCTCCCGCTCCTCGCGCTCCTGCTCCTGCCTGCGGGCTTCCGCCGCCGCCGCAGCGCGCAACTGTTCTTCTTGACGGCTGTAGGAATTACAAGTTATTTATTTATTTTTGTATATCTTACTAACTTAATTTACAAAATGACATAAGTTTAACACAACTATAAATAAATAAATAATAATAAATATATTGGGAAATTAACACACAGCACCATCTAGTTCCATGATAAGCTACGAGACCTGTGTTATGGATACCAGATAGTTGATACACTACACATATATAACTTTTAAATACATACATATTAAAAATATACTTCTCTATTTTCTATATAAATAGCTTAAAAGTAGCTTTTTATGATATATTTGTGTGTATGTTTATTGCTCGTTCACGATATTATATATTCAGTGCACAGATACACCTGGAGTGACATACAGCATTTACCATAGCGATGATAAACGCTAGTGTATTATTATATTAGATTAATCCACTTTGGTAATATTTGCGTTTACCACATACAGTTTTATGTTTTGGTGGAGAAAGTTACAAAATGTATACATAACGATTATACTTGTATGCAAATATTGCATAGAGTTGTGAACAATAGCACAATTGAAACTCATTAATTATAAAGATCTATTATCTAGTTTTTATTTAGAGTATATGGAAAGTAGACACATTTAAAAGAAACATATTTGTACAGGCATTAATTAACACAGACCGCGCTTCATGCGCCGAATGTCGCGTCTAGCCGGTGTCATAATATACCTCCAAGGCCTACCACTTCATTACCATGTAAAAGTATGAAATGAGATTTAATTTGGAGGTATTAATTGTTTAAAATTTATTAAAAAATATATTAAGTACCTAAATTATGTTTTTAAAATTTCACCAAGTCTTAAATTCAAGAAATATTAAGCAACAAACCAATATAAAGAAAATGTACAATGTATCAAAACTATAGATTATAATATATAAAATATCTAATATTAAAAAAGCCTAACGATGATTTAACACAATCATTTAATATTAAACTTCCAACACAATCTATTAAAATACATAATAACCATTCACAAAACCTTAAACAGACATACCGTAACTCCTCCTCCTCGCGCACGGTGTTCAACCGCTCGATGTACTCCTTGCGCTCCTCGATGATCTTGTGCCGCTGCAGCACACGGTGGTGCTCCGCCTGCTTGTTCTCGTGGTAGTGCTGCACCATGGCGAGGCGCGCGCGCTCGCGCTCCGTGCGCCGCCGCGCCGGGCACAGTGCCGCTGCTGCGCGCGACAGCACCTCCGCTGCACGGACTAGCTGCTCGCGGACCTGTATGCAGAGAAATAAACTATATAATATACTATATACTTGGCGACACACTGGGTATGCGGGTCTTGTCCACAATTTCGTGAATTTTAATTTTTGTGCAGAACCCCGATTCTTTTAAACTAAACTTTCCTGAACTAAACTAAAATCAGAACTGACATTTATTACGTGCAATGCCAACTTCTCGTTTTTCACCTTAGTTTTACATTTGCGAGCATTATTTTCAACACGATTAATACATTTTATGTTGGTGTATGATAAAAATTTAAATTTTTAATATTACATTTGTACAGGCATTAATTAACACAGACTGCGCTTTATGCGCCGAATGTCGCGTCTAGCCGGTGTTTGTAATATACCTCCAAGGCCTACCACTTCAATACCATGTAAAAGTTTGAAATGGGATTTAATTTGGAGGCACTAAAAGTTATAGGAGTTAAAAGGTAGCATGGTTTGCATAAGAAGTAATATTTTTTAAGTGTTGAGGTTGTTTTACCTGCTCTGCCGGAGTAGCTTGAAGGATCGCTCCGCCACACGCTTCGTCGGCCGCAGAGCACCACTCGCCGCCACCAGCCTCTACACCGAAGTGTACGCATCTACAGATGAATTACAAAAAATGGTATTAAATTATAAATTTACGTATTTAAAATCTTAAAAGTAATATTTATAGGACTTTTGTACACAACGACTTTTTAAAGTGTTTTTGAATTGTGCGTGCAATGTTCACAGGTTCTTAACTTAAATAGAGGAAGAGAGTATCATAGTCTTCCATTGTTCTCTCAATACATACAATATTCTAATACATTTTTACAAGTATTAAAATTACTTTGTTTAGAATCAAAAGCAAGTCTTACCAGTCTTGTGGTAAATCTACCACCCCATCTATAAAACACACTATACGTCTACGTCATAAGAACCACACAAGACTTAGTTTTTTTTTTAATTTGTTTATTAACAAGTAATTTTTAGTACTATAAAATAATTTATTAAATAATGTAGTATTTATTTTCTTTAATAATTAAATAAAAAACCATACATACTTCTTAGCATGATCGACACGTATCTGCATATCATTGTGACGCACGCAGTCCACGAGGAGACGTTCAATGTGGAACAAATCATCCGTAGCGGCTAGTTCAAGAAGTCTAGAAAATTCGATGCATGCATAGCATTGGGCGACTTGACGGATAAGACGGACGAGAGCCACGTCAGTTAGGGCCGTAGTGTACTGGGTAAGATACGAATCTGTAAACAAATTATTTATGTTAATCAATATGCTGTTGTTCTTGAATAGCTCATATTAAGCGATAAAAATAAAATGTAATTTATATTAAAATTTCATAATATATTTCAAGTGTCTTAAAAATATGCTAGGCATGAAATTTAGTATGTATCAAGCCCTTTTTAAGATCCCACTGCTAGGCACGGGTCTATCTTCATGTGAGGGGTATCAGGCCATAATCCTACCACTATACTCCACTTGCTATGTTCTCTCTGACATGCGAGTGTCCTTACGATGTTTACCTTCACTGTAAGACAAGTGGTAATTAAAAATATATATAGTATATTGAAAACGATCCGCGCATGACGATATCATATGTGCGAGACCCGGAATTGAACCTAGTTCACTCAGTTTCCTAAGCGAGTGTGTTACCACTGGGCTAGCACTACCCTATGAAATTTTGTAAGAAGTAAAAATCATGAATAATACAAGGCTGCACGTCATATAACAAACAAATAAATAACTTACTAGATTCCTCTTGCAGTGACTTGATAACACTTTGCACATTCTGGCAAATAGAGAGCGGGTCAAACTCCACCTCGAGCCAGGAGTACAGCTGTTGCAGCTGTGGCGACGCCAGCGCCACCACGTTCAAACGTACAACATCTACAAGTATATAATAATAATATTGTATTTATATCTTACTGCATTATATTACGCTCTACTCTTACTCTACTCTATACTTTTTAAAGTAAGGTAAATAGTTTTTTTGCCTTTCCTTTCTTTTGCCAATTCGTGGCATACAGACAGGGTTGTCGATGCATAACTCAGTGTAGTGTTATATTATAAGTTATAACTTATCCGTCAGTGAGAAAACAAAAACCAATATTTAATTTAGATCCTGTAAATGAAATACTGTCTGAATAGACTATTATTATTATTATTATATAGTGTTACTATTATTAGGTAAATAGAATAGATCAATGAAATATTTGTCAATAAACAACTATATTATATTTGTACAGGCATAAATTAACACAGACCGCGCTCCATGCGCCGAATGTCGCGTCTAGCCAGTGTCTGTAATATACCTCCAAGGCCTACCACTTCAATACCATGTAAAAGTTTGAAATGGGATTTAATTTGAAGGCATTAATACTAATATTGATAAATCACAGATAAAATTATTATTTAAAAAAGTGTCATAATGCAGAAAATGTTTAATATATTCTCTTTCTATAATATTTAATTTACCTTTAAGTAAGCTAGCTCTTGTCGGCGGCTGAGCCAGGCCAAGCAAAACCGCTAATCTCTGCGCCTTCTCTACTGGACTCTTGTCGGTTTCTACAAACCGATCAAACTCTGGATGTAAGGATGGCAGCGGCACAGATAGCACAGCCACTAGAACTCGGCAAGCCATTCTGTGTAACAAACATATTTAAATTTGTAGTTTTCTATGAAATCTAGGCTATTATGGCAGAATATGAGTTGCATTTTATAGGAACTAAAGATATTGGATGGAAGTAAATAATTTTTATAAATATTTTTTAGGTAATATGTACATTGTACATTTAATAATAATTGACATCAACATAATTTTTTTAGATTATTTATTTAGATTACTATTATGACTACTGCTTTTCACAAGGCATCTTTATTTCACTTAACTTTCTATTTAATTTGAAGGCCTATAATGTAATAGAAAATAATTTTTTTCTGCCTATCACATCAAGCCACTCCTGTAATGTTCTTTTAATAATTACAATTTAAAAATTATTATTAGCAGCAAAATAAAGCTGATATATTATCAAATAAACATGATTGCAGATTTAAATATTATATTTATACATATTTACAATTCAAGAAATTAGTAGCTTACTTTTGCAATTCCTCTTGAGTAATGTTCTTTTTCATCTCTCTTGATAATTGAAAGTGCTTTAATAATGCAGCGGCATGGAACAGACAATGACCTGCCTTCCAGAAGACTAGAGCCAGCTTCCCATAATAATTTGCCATGGTCTTAGCTACTGGTGTTTTCTTCGACATATTCATGAGGTTGTGGATGTCTTCTATAGCTTTGTAGGCTTCCTATAGACATGAATTATTAGGAAATCAATAATAGTGTTGTACTAGCTTAACTGAATGTGTAGGCTAATTTTATAATAGACATATTTTTTTAGCATTTGTATGGTATGTTGATTTTAACTTGAAGCTTGAAAAATCCATACTAATATTATAAATGTGAAAGTGTGTTTGTTTGTCTTCTTTCACGTCGAAATGGAGTGACTGATTGGCGTAATTTTTTCTGTGGAGATAGTTGGAGGGCTGGAGAGTGACATAGGCTACTTTTTACCGCGGGATATTACCTAATTCCCACGGGAAAACACGTTATAATACAATCCCAAAAAATATTTATGATCAGAATTACTTGAAACTTGGTATTAATGCTCTTCTATAAAATTAAATAAACACGTGTTTTAGCATTTTTCGAAATTCATCCTATAGGAGGGTAAAATAGAGGATGAAAGTTTGTATGAAACTACCTTTGTAGAAATTTTCTAGTATTAGCGCGAGCGAAGCCGCGGGTTCTTCTAGTATATTATATTTTTAATACAAACTATAGCTTACTCCATTCCATATATAGATAATGTAGATTATTTATATGTATTTATAAAAATAGCTAAATTAAACTGAAATAATTATTTTTTAATTTTTGATAGCACATTATTAGCTGCCTGTGGCAGTATACTATCCCTCCAAAGCCTAACATTTGACAAGTATAGTTCAGTAGGAAATGGGATTTATTATGGAGGATGATGTACTGGTTTTACTTCAATAATAAAATTATACCCCAATAAATTACCAGTAAAACACACATTGAATATAATCCCTTTGATTAGATAGGCAATCAAATGGCGCGTGCCCGGCCGCCCCGAGCTGCCCCGCGCCCTGCTTCTTACCACCAATTTGACCGGTAAATCGCTTGACAGCCAGCGGTTTTTTTAAATGACGCGAGTTATTTAAATATTACATTGTAAAAAAAAACAAAAATATTATAATTGAAACATACCTGCCACAATTCCATTTGAATGGCACTATCCAGTTGGAACAGTCTGGTTTCGAGATTCAATTGTTGAGTCTCAGGTTTTGTCATGCTAACACTTCCTGGTTGAGCCTGCACAGGGATTGTAAGTTGAATTTTTACAAAGCAAATATTACATAAAACATATGATGTAAAATTATCTTTACTCATTTTTGTTATTTACTTTTAAAAATCATTAAAAATATTTATATATTAATTAAAAAAAAATAAGTATTCATGCACCATTTTACTCAAATATATCCTACATTGTTACATTTCAATAATTACATTACTTTACATATTATATATATCAAATTCTTCACTTACATTGGACTTCCATATATCTTCAAGATGTTTTCTCAATTTGTCACACAGCTTCCTAAATTCTGTTTTACGAGAATATTTCAAGCAAAACTGGAATGCCATGCGGGCAATGTCATGATAGAGGGTTTCCACATGGGTATTTGTTCTTAGCAGCTCCAAACATTGGCAGTATGACTCCCATAAAAATTTTACCTATTAAAATATTTAAACTATGTAATATGAACTTAAAATTAAGGAAAAATACCTATATAGCATAAACATGTGAAGTTATACTTCCCAAGAAAGTAAAATATTTATAACTATGTCTAGAGATTAACATTGCATATACATTAAACTATTATACCTGTATCCTTATAGTTTACACCCCATAAAATATCATTCCATAGAATTAACAAACAATAAATTTATGGATCTTACCCATGGTGTAAGAATAGTCCTATCAGATCTATCCTGAGCATCTTCACCTGACACAGCACTCAGCAGAATACTTTCAGGAGTAGCAAGATTATCCAAATCATCTGTCTCTATGACAGCTTGTGTGGATTGCTGCCTTGCAGCTTCGGTACGCTCTTCTGCCATCCGTAGGTATCCTCTGTAACACATTGTGTTAGTTAATTAATTGGTATAAATTTATGTTATAGAGTTTATTATATGATCAACTGTTATATTACAAACTAAGCAAATAATTGTTACATTGTTGTATGAAGATATATGTTTAAAAATATTATGTATAATGCATTTAATTTATAACTGAGGAACATTTGATAAAAGTTTTCAAAACTAATAATAAATACCTATCCTAAGCTGCTATTTCTTTTTGATGTTATTTGTTTATTATCAATAATGAATCAAAAACGATAGATATTTTAATAAATGATTTTTTTTATATTATAGTAATATTTTAAGTTATATACCTTATAACTTGCTCTAAAGATCCAACATTGACTGACTGGAACATGTTCCTGTATTGAAACAGACCCTCTTTTGCGATGTGGGACTTGCGTAGATCCACACAAAGTTCCAAATATTTGAACATAATCGGCTCCAGCACCGACTCGGACCAGTTGTACGCCCATTTTTTGTTTCTGAAGACTTCTTGCAAAGTATCTAAAGCTCGAGCCGGTTTGTCCAGGTCCATAAACTCTAAAAGACATTATGGGATATAACTAGGGTTATGATACGTTATGCAATGAGAATTCTCCTTATAAATAAAACAAAGATACAAAATAATAGTCTCCGTCATGTAATCATTCATTGTAATAAATTAATAAGTATGAGGTAGGAGATTACGAAATACAAGGTCTCATTATTTTCTGCAACGTGGTATGATAGGGTCATAGATGTACGTACCATTTGCCCGTTTAAGGGCATTTTCAGGCCTTTGACCATATCTTGCCATGTTGTATGATGCACTATTCATTCATTTACACAGATTTAAAAGACAAACGCGGATAAAGAAGAACAAAATAAGTTATTCCTCTAAATTATCCACCGGCCTGACAAGCGACGGCGGGTCAAAATGGCCTCCACATTGCTGAGCAGTCAGCAGTGACCACAGATAATTTATTTAATAAACTATAAAGGTAAAACCAAAGAGTATAGTTATAAACTGGTAAAACCAAAGGATAAAACTTTAAAAAAACCATATACAATACATAGATAAAAATAATCTCATAAAAATATAAAACGGTAACATATAAATAACTATATGTAATCTGTCCCTGTTTTCCAATTACAGAGCATAAAACCGTACTTCGGCTCACAATGCCGAAGTGTGCTAATGCTTAATTCTAACGTGAATTAATTTTCAAGTGCACCAGCAGAGGGCACTAGCTTCAGTGTTGAAAGAAAAATTGTAACTAATATTATGTAATTATAATAAATAATAATACATATCGTCGATATTATAAATTATATAATAAACTAGCGTATCACCCTCTCTTCTCTCGGGTAAGTCCCTAGCTTGCTTCCCAATACGAACTTTCATCCTTATTTTCATCCCCTTGAGGGATGATTTACGGGATAAAAAGTATCCTATGTCCTTCCCAGGGTATCAAATTATCTTGTAACCAAATTTCATCTAAATCGGTTCAGTAGATCCAGAAATCATCCCCTACAACGTCACAAACTTGCAAACTTTACCTTTTTATAATATTAGTATAGATATATAATAATATATAACTAATTATTAATTATATAAATAAGATGTAAAGAAACATTACTAACTATAATATAAATAAAATTTTGATCAATGCCACCTTGAAGAAAAAACACTTTCAAATTGCTGTTTAAGCGGAGCGTTGCTGTAGTTGGAACATCCGAAGTTAGCATTATGCCGTATAATGCGCTTTAGCACTCTAATTGAAAAACAGGGTATACATATAAAGTTGAGGCATAATGTTCAAGTTCGAATTTTTCAACTAAAGCAACGCTCCGTACAATCGAGCACTTTGAAAAGTACTGCTTTGGCGTGACCAACTAACTCAGTAGCAGAAAATATAAAAAGTGTTTTTTCGTATTGTTCATGTTTGTGCGGTATTATGCTCAGGGATATGTAACCAAGTGCCAACATTATGAAATTTTCTTATTTTAATTTGCGATAAAACTATTATTGAACAGATGTTTTAATTTATTCAACAATATTCAATATTTGGAAAAAACAAATAAAAAAATGAAAAAAATAAAAGCTTTTTTTCTATAATGGATTCTGCCAGTGTCACGTTTTGTGAGGAAGACACGAATGAGATTGAGCGGTACCTAATAAGTAATAAAAATTAATAAGCCAAATTGATGGAGTCTAAGCTTCGTTGACTATCATGCACTGTCAAGTGTCAACTGTCAAGTAAATAATAATAATCATGGATGACAAATAAAATAATAATTCTTAATCTTCTATATTCTGTAATTTCATTGTTTTCTTGTTGTTTATGCCATTTATGATTGGTATGTGATTAGTTTAATGTTTATATTATTTGTATGTAATAAAATTAGAGAAAAATCTAAATAACTTGTAGGATAAATAATAGTGTTCATGATATTTGAATTTATGCTACAATGGAAGACAAGAAATTATGGAAAAAGAAAGAAGTATTTAAATTTATCACTAGATATAAACATTATCGAGAGTTATGGGATACTAAATCAATTATTTATAAAAATAAATTAAAACGGACGAAAGCGCTACATGCTCTGGCTGCTGAGTTTAATACTAACGTTGGGGAAATAAATAAAAAAATTCGCGTCTTAAGAAGTCAATTCTTTTGTATGTATAAAAAAATGTATGAGAATAAAGATGAAAATGGTATTGAAAGTGCATTTGTGACTAAATGGGAATATTATAGGCCATTGCAGTTTATTTTGGTATCAAGGGAGAACAATGAAGAATTTACGGAACACTCGGTTGGATAATATTCTTTTATTTTACAATTACCTAATTAAAGAAAACTAAAAACTAAAACAACCTACTAACATTTATAAAATTATATCTATTTAATTTTGGAAAAATATTTTTCTTAAATAATTATATTACCCATTTTTTATTTTAATTAATTTTTCTTAATTTTTAGGAACACGAAGAAGACATAGAAAAAAAGTCTAATCACAGTGATTTAGAAGATGAAAATGAAAAAGATACTGAAATTTTATTAATAGTACAAAAAAGAAGACGGTCTGATGAATCAAGCTCAAGCTTAGAAGAATCTGTGAATAGTGTTCAAAATAATGAGTTACGAATATTGAAAAACAATGTAAAGTGTAACTTGAGATCCGTGTTTAAAAAGAAAAAAGTAAAAACGTGTTAAATATGTTGGTATTGAGTAGTGGGTTTATAATTATAAAATATTATAATTTAATGCATGTATTTGGTACTTGCCCAACTCTACTATAGATATAAGTTACCTTTGCTTTATAGTTTATATAGTCAATGCTGTGAATGCAGAGCTTCTCTTATAATTCATTAATTCAGTATTTGTTCAATAAAAAAACCTATTCAAATCTCTTCATTTATTTATTCTCAAATAATTTGTCACTAAACAGCTTCTAGCAAAATGTCAGATATTATTTTACTTTATGAAGTAGGTATAATATTTTAATTCTGGTTTAATTTCATAATGGTCTGATTTTTAAATTCTTGACAAAAAAATCGAGTCAAGCAACATCCACTCCTTGGTCTATCCTGATGATTTGGGTCCACAAGTCACTTGCTTCCTTTCTGCAATCTTCTAGCAATGAAGGTGGTTGTCCAATAATGTAATAGTCATGTTTGACTTTAGCGATAGAACCTGGAGCTCAGACATGACGTTAGAAATTTAGAATGGAAGATAATGCGTTTCAAATAGTGACCGACCGAAGATTCGATATCGGTCAAAAACAAGCGGAATCTTTGGCCGTGCCGAAACTCAGTGTTTATGAATTGCCCTGCTTCGTTCGGGTGAGTTCGCGAATCGTGTTTGTTTGCCAGTTGCTGGCGTGATTGCCGATTTCGTGTTTTATATACTTTTTTTTCGATTATGTGTAGTATATACAACCACCATGGGGTCTCGTGATGAGACCAAGAAAAATTAGTTCAAATAAACGTCAATAGATGATGTTACATGTATTAATTTGTTATTAAGGTTAGTAAAGTTTGTTGTTAAAGTTGTTTTAAATTAATAAGAGATAAAAAAAAATATCTCAAAAAAGTGTGATATTGTTTCTAAGCGAAGTTAAATGCTATAATGTGCCTGTAAATCAAGTTCTAATTTGCTTAATTTTACTGATTATGGAAATATTGGCAAGATATCAGATGATAGATTTGTGGTGTATATTCACAGATGGCGCTATTACTTTTTATGAATTATATAAAACGGTTCAAAATTGTTAAAACCACTGACATTTTTTTATTTGAATGCAGGATAAATATTACATTACATATATATTTGAAGATATTTATAAAATAAAAATGTTTAACGATTTACGAATCAACGACATCTATTTTCTATTGAAACAAACATAAAAAGCCTGAAGAATTGCCCGAATTAGTCTGTAGGGATGTGGCATCTGTACTAATATAGTATTATTTGTGATCTGTGCAACCACTTTTGCAAAGTGTGAGTAAAAGTGTATGTGTATGAACTATGAGTGTATACTGCTCTCTGTGGACTGCCTCGATGCCTAGTGGTTAACAGGTACGGCTTGTGGTTCTGAAGTCCTTGGTTCAATATTACTTGTATTACTATATTACTATTTCTATGAACACGACACGGACTACTATGTCCACTAGAATTATCAACTGCGTATCATACCCGTACATAACGGTTTTAGTGACCGTAGCACCCGCGTATCAACCCCGTATTATCCGCGTGTCAACCGCGTATCATCCGCGTGTCATATCCGTATGGTTCCCGTTTTTTCAGTGTAATAGTTCACCTGTGTTTTCGCGTGAGGAAGTCGCGTCAGGAAGAGCGAGTGAATATTTTTGTTAAGAAAATTTTTTCCTATACCTATACGATAGCTATTAGAAAATTGTCCGGCAGAGAATTAACAATGATAGCCATTATTTTAGACAAGGAAGAAAGAGAAAAGAAAAGTTAACAACGACGAATTAAAGGCGATAGTGGAAGCTGACGATACTCAATCTACGGCTGGGTTAGCAGCAGCTTTCTACGTTAACATCTAAACAAGATTGGTCCATTTTCGTCAAATTGGCAAGGTAAAAAAACTTGATAAATGGGTGCCGCACGAACTGTACGACAGTGAGAGAATGTTGAGGTATGCTTTACGTGTCTTATTAACAGACACAGAAACGAAAGGATTTTGAACCGCATTGTCACTTGTTGAGATGACAAATAGATTCTTTTCGATAATCGTCATCATGTTGGGTAGACCCTGGTTCAGCACTTACGCAATGTTTCAGACGAAAACTTATCCTTAAAAAAGTTATGGTCACTGATTGGTGCTCTACTGCCGGTATTACTGTAGAAGTGTACTAGGTGAGGAACTGGACCAAATGATGGAGAAGCTTGCAAATCTCCGGCCAGCCTTTGTTAATCGCTCGTCCCCGCTGCTCCTACACGACAACGCTCGACCTCATATGGTACAGCAGACAGTCTTTAAGCTATAAGAGCGAGGGTTGGAAGTTTTGCGCCATCCACCTATTCACCAGACCGCCGACAGACTTCTAATTTTTCCAAAATTTGGACAACTTCTTGGCAGGGATCGATATCGATACTAGCAGTAAAAAATGATTTCCTTTGAAGAGTTTGTTGGCGCTTGTACACCTGGCCTTCTTTAAGAAGGGCATTGAAACATTACCACTGCGCTGGCAGAGATACATCGATAGCATGGGTGTATATTTTGATTGATGGAATTAAAAAATATTTATAAAAAAATAACAAACTTTTTGTATATTAAACGGCAATTTCATAGGTAAAGAGCTAATATTAAATAATGGTATAATTAATTATTATTATTCAATTTGATTGAAAGTCTTTTGCATTCTTCAGAGGTTCTAAAATAAAAATGTTATTAAATCGGTAAAGCAATTTTACAACTTATTAACTTAGTTAAATCATTTTTTTCTGTATTTTTGAATTATTTTTTTAACTTTTATATTTAAGTAGTTATGTTGTCAAATATACCTAGTACATATAAACTATAATTTAATAATAATAATTATTATTCGATCTGCATATAATATAATATATATATAGATGAATGTGTTGCTATTTTTGTTTATATACTTTAAATAAAATAAATATAAGTCAACTTTGACATTAGGTAGTCATTACAAGACCGTACCTACTGGCGGAATTTATAATGTCATTTTCAATTTGTCAATGGAGATTTAGTATTTTTATAGGCTAATAAAATGCAACTGGTCACAAAAGTGTGTCTCTATCGAAGCCCCTACACAATCTGTTATTTAACAGAGGATCGTATTATACTGCCTAATGATCACAGTTACAAATCTATTGGTGTTAAGCGTAATACTAGCGATTTAAATATTGGTGATCATATTGAAGTAAAAAGCGACTTAATATCAGAAGCAAATTCTAAAAGACTGTTGAAGTTGAACACATCAGCTTTATTTTTACAGCCTTTTCTTAAGGAATGTATAAATTCAGATGTGTATAGAATAAATGTAATTAGATATTTAAATAAATTAAGTGGCTATCCAAACAGTGGGACCGTATTCTTAAATTTGATTCTAGAACCTCCAGATAAGGAAGTAATTGATTATGCTTGGTAAGAATAATGTAATTTTATATATTACAAGATAGTAATATATTATTGAATTGTAATTATTTCAGTCACTGTGAATGTGTAACCTTTCATCAGATACATTATTTTTAATTTTGTGTGAGTTCTATTTGTTTATGCTTACATAAATTTACTTAAACTTATTTATTCTTTTAGGAACACAAGAATTTCACGTTTAGTATGGACTAGAGTAGAAATAGAGAATGCATTTTCTTGGCTTTCCACTCTTGGTGGAGCTTACTCTGCTTTAGGTGACTATTTTGAGTATTGTGTGAGTATTTATTTCTATTACTTTGGAATTTTATAACATACAGTATATTCATTTTACTATTGAAGGAGATATGTAGGAATATTAACCTAATGGACAACAACAAGGCCCCTGGTTATGATTTTATCGACAAAAAAGTCCTTCAAGAATTGCCTTACAAAGGAATTGTGTATCTAACCATGCTTTTTAACACCATTCAACGAGTAGGCTACTTCCCAGACATATGGAAAGTATCACAAGTAATAATGATCCATAAACCCGGTAAACCAATGCATGATGTCACGTCATACAGACCTATCAGTCTACTACCAATTATGTCCAAGCTGTACGAAAAGTCTCTACTACATAGAATGTTACCTGTTCTCAATGAGAAGAAAATTGTCCCAGAACACCAATTCGGATTTCGAAAAGAACATGCTACCATAGAACAAGTCCATAGAGTGTGCAGGAAGATCAGAAAAACCTTTGAAAAAAAAGAATACTGCTCATCTGCCTTTCTTGATATACAACAAGCCTTCGACAGAGTCTCGCACAAAGGTCTGCTCTTCAAAATAAAAACCCTATTACCACATACATTCTATGGAATAAGGATACTAAAATCATACATTACACACAGAATATTTCAAGTAAGAGAAAACCAATCCACCTCACGACTCTATGAAATATCCACAGGAGTACCACAAGGCTTGGTCCCGTCTTGTACACCCTGTTTACCTCCGACCTATCTCAAAGCTCTGAGATCACAATTGCCACCTTCGCGGATGACACTGCCTTACTTGCCTCGCACAAATGTCCAACACAAGCATGTCGCATTTTACAAAGTAGCTTAAATGAAACAGAAGAATGGCTAGCCAAATGGAGAATTGCTGCCAGCGTATCCAAATCAGTGCATATAACGTTTACATTATGCAAACATGATTGTGACCCCGTTACCCTAAACGGCAGCCAACTCCCACATCACGAGTCTGTACAATATCTGGGCATGCATCTTGACCGAAGGCTCACATGGAGAAAACATGTCGAAACTAAAAGGGAAGAAATGAACCTGAAATACAGAGGTCTTCTCTGGCTTCTTGGAAGAAACTCAAAACTGGCGATAGATAACAAACTCCTAATATAAAAGACCATTCTGAAGCCAATCTGGACATACGGCATCCAACTTTGGGGATCAGCCAGTACCTCCAACATAATGAAAGTGCAAAGGGCACAAAATTATATACTGAAACAAATATCCAATGCACCGTGGTTTATCAAGACTACAAAAATCCATGAAATCCTCAATATTCCTATGGTCAATGAAGAGATAAAAACACATGGCTAAAAGTACAAATCCCGGCTGCTAAGGCATCCGAACAAACTAGCAGGACAACTTACTATCCCGGAAAGCATCCGCCGATTAAAAAAGCGGCGTGACATTTTCGACCAGAACAGTCAGAAAGAAGAATGACTTTGTAAAGATAGGGCAGACCCCACTGGGAGTAGAACCTAACATGCCATTTAACCATCTCATCTGCTCATAGTCTGTAAGACTGATCGCAAGATTTAACCAAAAAAAAATTTACTATTGAACTTTTAAACATTTTTAAAACTTATATCTTTTTTATTCTGTATTAATGCCTTGTTGGTCTAGTAGCTAGCATGTATGACTGCAGATCTAGGGGACCTGGGTATGAGTCCCAGGTGGAGCCATGCTTTTGGATTTTTCAGTTTATAAATTTTCACTACATAAATATAAACTAAATGTCTGATTTTTTATTTCTTGTTAATAAAATTATGAACTTTTATTTTTAGGCTGAAGAAGCAGGAAAAATATCAATGCGGCAATACAAACTATCTAAAATGCTAGGTGATGACAGTTTAGCTGCTAGAAGTAGATTATATTCTGCAATAGCATATGCCCAAAAGGGAAACATTAAACTTGCTAAACATATAGTTAGGAACATTGCTGCATTTGCGAGAAAAACTCATGATATAAGGTTGAACAGAATGTGCCAAGGTGTGTGGGTCAAATTAAAATATTTACAAGATATAAAGAATAATGACTTGGACAATTGCAGGCTAAAAGTGAAGTGATAGTTTTATATTAATTTTTATATCTTGTATTTTGTTTATTAGTAAATTAAATTATCAAAAATACATATAAATAAAAGATTATCTTGATTATAATTATTGTTTTACAGGGGATTGAATTATCAAATAAAAAAAATGATTATCTTAATTTATAATTTTGATACTTTAAATCAAAAACATTAGCTGTTTATCAGTTAAATATATTTATTTTTACTCAGTTCTTTTTTGTTGATTTTTTTCCCTATGATACAATTAAGACTTATGATCACATTATATTACATAGTAATAAATATTATGTTATTTTGTAACATGGGTATTTACACAGTTAGATATTCAATATTATTAAAACAAATATACCACACTATCAAACATACATAATTTAAATTTTATTACTGTGATGATGAAAGTGAACAAATAATTGTTATGTAAGTGATTGTAAATAATAAATGAATTTTGCAAATTAATATTTTATATTTTTCATTTATTCTGCCTGAATATTAAAGACTAGCAACTCACCCTCGTTTTGCTCGGGTTCATCCCTATGTATATAGTATCACAATGATGTACATAATATATAGTTTTACACTCTTCGGTGCGTTGCTAATTCCTTAACAGCCTATCTTTTACTTCAGGTCAAAGTCTAGATTAAATTTCATTTGAAACTGAAACAGTTCCATATTTATAATAGTAGTCCAATTTGGGCCCTTCAGTATACCTACTTTAAAACTGAGAGCACACTCGCAAAAAGGGCAGGGAATTCAAATGCCAGGTTTATGTGCGAATAAAATTTTAAACATTATTTTGTAGTACGGTAAAGAAAAATATCATGAGGGAACTTGTGTCTTCTGAAGAATGTAACATGTATGTAGTTTTCGATATCAGTAATAAGTCTACTAATCCACATAACACGCTTAGTAGTGGAATGATACAAGGGGATGTATACTAATATATAGAATAGAGAATATATGATTATATATAGTATTATAGGCAGTGGTAACCCAGTGGTAACGCGTTCGCTAGGGAACCCTGTTGAAAAACTCAAATAGAATTCCATCAAAAGCAACAAAAGCCACATAGAAACCAATAAACATTTATTGGTTGCTTTTGTCGCTTTTGATGGGATCCTATTGGAATTTTTAAATAGGGAAACTTAGTGAAGCGGGTTCAAATCCCGGATCTCGCACCTCTGATATTTTCATGTGCGAATCATTTCTAACATGATTACCACTTGCCTTACGGTGAAGGATAACATCGTGAGGAAATCTGCATGTCTGAGAGAACCTATCAAGTTTTCGAAAGACATGTGAAGTCTGGTCGCGCTTGACATCATGGTGGACTATGGTCTGATCCCATTCGTATTGAAGGGAGGCCCACACCCAGCATTGGGACGTTAAAAACAGCTGAATAGATAGGTAGGTGATTATTAAAATCTATAAAGTAAAAACAATCAGTATATGCTGTGAAACACTTTATTGTCTTAGTACAAATAGCACATGGCGGTAACTACTTATTTGCTGAACACGATTTGTTTATTCCTATCTACGAAATCAATTTTTACAGAAATAATATATGTACAACAAAAAATTAGAATTTTGGCCTAAAAATTCAGTTCAAAAATTTTAACCTAATAAGAAATCAGTGCTTAATTATTCTATTAATTTAAGTAAAGAATAAAGATCTATAAGCAATTATTCATAGCTTAAAGCTTGAATAATCAAATGAATTCCTAAGATTACAATTCAATAATGCTGTTACAATTCAATAATATTTCCATATGAATTCTGCCATCATAAAAAAGAAGGCCGCAACTTTTACAAAGTAGATTTCGAGATATTTGAAGTTTTGTCTTAGTAGTAGTTTTGACGTAGTTTCAATAAAAATGGTTATGGTATCTCCGGATTCATAAGACTTAGAGCTTTATGAGTAAAAATATCAAATAGCATTTTTTTCATGATTCCGAATCTGCATTTAAGTCATTTTTGACCAAATTTTTAGTTAGGACCTTCTTTATTATGACGACATAATCGGTATTCGTATTAATAAAATATAGTGGGATAGAAATTGTTTTGAAAATAAAATCCATGAAAAATAACCACTCAAATTAAAACTAAATAGGTACATTGTTAGAAGCAATGCATAAAACTTAATGTATCTATTGCATAACAAAAGTTATATTATGAAGTAGTATACATATGTAGTATTTACCGTTAATTGCATGAAAAGAATACAAGCACATAGGTATAAATGTAACACATGAATTTACTTAATTTATTTCTCATTTAAGAGAAAAACGTTATTTTAGCTCAAATTCAGATATTAAAAAGTGTATTTTATCTAATTTGTACTTTTAAACGATGTTTTCGGTGTTTTTCGCGGATTTATTCTAATTTTTCGTTCCCGACGACGTTTTGAATGCTTTACAGCAATCATGGTCACGGGAGAGACTTAAGGTTTTAGATGTCTCGAAGGCGTTATATTATACTTATTACAGTGCCTATCCACAATTTAACAAAATTATTTTAAAATATTTAAAAATAGCATTGTAGTTACCTTACAATATTTGTTTCGAAACGTCGGGAATCAAAAATCATAATAAATCCGCGAAAAAAACTGAAAAGAAAGTTTTATTTAAAATGTCAAATATTTGCATAAATCTAAGAAAGTATAATTTGTACTTAACTTTTGATGTTAGTTACTATCTAGTAGCACCATGCAGAGAAAATAAAATTGTTACAAGATTTTTGAACTCTTTATCTTTTTAGGTAATTTTTGTTAAGATATGATTTTATCAAAATTAAAAGAGCCGATAATGGTATTAACACAGATCACATAATACTAAACTAGTACAGATGCCTCATTCCATACAAAGAAATTGGACAGTGCTAATACGGGCTATTTTTGTTTTCTTGAATAGATTATTATTTATTCAAGATTGTCGTTGATCCGTAAATAGTTGAACTGTTTCGTTTTATAAATATGTGCAATCTAACGTATGGTAAATATTGTAAAATTCAATGTGTAACCGTCATAAAAACAGCTCATAAAAAGTAAAAGCGCCATCTGTGAATATACACCACAAACCCATCATCTGATTGCTGATATTTAAATAATCAGTAAGATTACGCAAATTTGATTTATGGGCGCATTATTTCGTTTCCCTTCACTTAGATTAGTTTTGAAAACCATAATCATCGATCAAAAAAGTACTAGGTACACAATCAGCGACAAAAAATGTCCTCACCGTATGAGCTCATATTTGAACATTTGAGCGCGCTTTTTTTTTGTGAAAACAACTTTAGGCATTGCATGTAAGATTCAATTTATTTTGTTGTATACTTATATAGCAACTAGAATAATTATTTAAACACAATTGGTGACAGTTTTAAGAGAAATTTTGCATGGGATTGTGTATCTAGTATTTTTATGATCAATTACCATAACTTTGATATATTTTGTTAATTTGTTACTTTCATAACAAATCGATACATGTAACATCATCTATTGACATTTATTTAAACTAGATTTTCTTTGTTCGTGATGAGACCCCGTGATATAAACAAAATTAAAATTAATATAGTAGAAATTGCTTAATACATATATATACCCTGATATTTTTTTAAGACTTTTGGTTTCCATTATTAGGACTACTCATAGCAATTTCAAAACAAAGTCATAGTGCGTTTTTTTAACCATCTTTGCTAACATTTTAACCATTAATCTAATTCTACTGTAACAAGTTAACAATGCAATACTTGCTAGTGCCCGCGGTTTCACTCAATTTAATAATAACTGATATAAAATGGAACTAAAAAGTGACCAATTAATGGCAAATATTGATATAAAAGCATATCATGTGATATATTGAGCATGTTAAATTTATTCCTTATTACATATGGGACAAGCGAGAGTGCCCATGGGGTCCCACGCGGGCAGCACCGTCGGGGTTTGCTTGAACACATTAAGAACTTCTGCGGGAACATGCTTCTTGTCTACAACCACCTGAAATTATTATTAGATAAGAGCATTTAGTTACAACAACGCCACTATCTATCAAAATAGCTTATTACTAAATGCAAATAATAAACATGCATATATAAAACACAATTTTTAACATTTTTGTCTGTTTTTTTTGTTCTGGTTAATCTCCGAAACGGCTGGACTGATTTTGACGGGACTTTCAAAGGCAGATAGCTGATGTTATAAGGAGTAACTTAGGTTACTTTTATTTAGAAAAAGAATTAAGATTCCGCTCAAAAAAATTAAAATGTACATAGATATGCACCCAAGCAAAGCGAGGGTAAATCACTAGCTATAAATAAAATAGGTGTCTGACAAGAGGCTCTATCTATGGACGCAATTCAATTTTTTTCAATTTTTCCTTGTTTTCTTAATTTAGGATATGTAAAAATTTTGTTTATTCACATATTAATATTCTTTTGTCACCAGCCATTTCTTGTAATAGTTGTATTATTTGGCATAATAATGACTAAAAGTTAATTCAGTATATGAAATTGAAACAAAAATCAATAACTTTAACAATAAAAACACTTAAAAAATACTTAATAACAATACATTAGTCTCATACTGGCAATATCAATTGAAAGAATTTACTTTTGCCCTCTATACATTTATAAAACTTACCTCAAAAACAAATTCTCTAAACCACGGCTCAGTCAGCAAGAGATAACCCTTGTCATACTCCTTATCTCCATACGAATTTTCTACTCGGAACTTCGTAGGGTTGCCATGCTCCTACATAAAAATAATAAATATATAACATTGGGTATATAAAATAACAAACGAAAATATCGATATTGATTATCGAGGTGTGGATTTGATTCCAGGTTGAGGTAAAATATATATATATATTTTCTCTATTTTATTACCTGTATGATTCTGATTAAAAAAAAATAATCACAGTATCTCGAACCGAATAATTTACAAGTAATACTTATTATTAAAAAAATCCTTATATAAAAAAGACATTTTTTGTTCTAGATAAATCGATTTTTTGTTTTACATGTAAGTGTTACCAAAGCTGTAGTAAGCCTGCTTCAGTTAAAATAAGCTTATTTTCTCAATGTACTCTCACATCACACTACTATTATGTGCATTATATGTGTATATTTGTACTCCTTCACCTTGACACCGCTGGACGGATGTGGATGAGTACACAGACTACGACTGAGTAACACATAGGCTAATATACTGATTCAAAAAAATGCCAAAAGATGACAATTTGAATAAGAAAAACGAAAAATCTTCTATCGTAGTACTATTTCCTACTCCTAAAAGTTGCCTGGAAATTGCTCTTTTAGCGATCAAGCCGTCTCTTGTATTCTCCTATATTTTGTATATTTTCTTTTTGGTCGATTGGATGTACAAGTTATTATTAATATTATAATGTTCTCCCGACCGATTCCGGCCACGGCGGCCAATCTCATTGAGACTAGCCAACTGCGCAGGAGATATTATAGTGCACAAGTGTACGCGCAGACACAACGTGCACTCTCTATTCCCGTCACTCTCATACTCCGGTGGGACGACGCGAGACACAACCAGTGAGAGTTAAGGCGCAGGACCGACACGACACGTGCTTTCCGAGGCACGGGGGTGAAACACCGCCTACTCTTCAAATCCGGGCTGTTACCGAGGCTTACTATAAAGAAAGACTCAATAACTAAACTTGGCTTTGCCAGGGACTCGAACCCAGGAACTCCGGGTGTGCAGCCGTACATGCTAGCCACTACACCACCGAGGCAGTAATTTTATTATTATAATATTATAGTAACCGTACATCAGTCCCAACAGCTGTGAAGACCATAGCGTGCGTCATGCAGGAGTCGCCGTACAGCAGGCGGTCGGCCTTGTTCAGCCCGATCTGCACCTCGGTGTTGAATAGTAGCTTGTAGTCTTGCCTGGGATTTATATTTTATTCATTTTTATTAATTTCACTTGTAAATAACTATATATATAATTAAACTTTGAAAGTCGATTGCTAATTATTTTATTTTTGTTACAATTTTTGACAACAATAAGTGTATTACTGAAATACTAATCTATACATATAATAAAACAGTAGAGGTCGAATGTCTGTACATAGAAAAAAAATATGTTAAAAACCGAGTCAGGGGGGTGTAAGAGAAATAGAACAAATCCAGATTTTTTCAATTTTTTTGTTTCTCTGTCTGTTTATGTCTGATAGTGAGATCTTCGTTAAGCGTTTTAATCCAACGATAAAAAAACTTAGCAAACTTGAATAACAAATTAATCAGTAAATAATAAATATGTTATAAAATAATGAATCTTTACATATTAGTAAAATCTTTAAGTATGTATGTTTGTATGACTTACGCATCTAAATCTTCTAGAGCGTTCTTTCTCTCAAAACGCTTGGACACCTCGCATCCGAACCAGACCGCTTCACCGGCTTGTATACTGTCTTTTACTACTCTATAAAACAAAAAAATAACAGATAAGATACTTCTTAATAAATGCTAAAGTTTGTGCATGAGTCAGTGTATTTATGTTACTCGTTAATGCCAAAACGGCTTTGTTCAAATTACCAATACTTATTGTACTTTATAGTAGATACTTTTTTTCCTCTATTTTAAAAACAACACTTTATGTCTAAAATAACTCAGTCTCTGCTTTGATTGCTGTAAATCATTGGAAACGTCGGGGGCCAAAAATCAAGAGAAATCCGCTAAGAAATCCAAAAAGGTAGTAGTATTTAAAATGTCAAATATTCGCGTAAATTTAGGAAAGTATTACTTAATAAGTGTCTCGACAGGCTGGTTGTTGTATGCGGTCTGTCGGCCGCCCACTACGTTGCCGAGGCACTGCAGCGTGTAGAGGCGGCCGAAGGGGTTTGCCTCGCGCGGGTCGCTCACGAGACACACCTGGATATGGGGGTATAAATGATTACATATATATTCATACTAATATTATAAATGTGTTTATTGTTTGTCCTTCTTTCATGTCGAAACAGAGTGACGGATTGGCGTGATTTTTTGTGTGGAGATAATTGGAGGGCTGGAGACTGACGTATGCTACTTTTTACAGCGGGATATTATTGACGACACGTTTGGCTCAGTTTGTCGTGACTCTACTTGATGTGTCTTGATGGTCGAGGGTTCGAGTCCCACTCGAGGCATTCATTTGTGTGATGAGCACGAATGTTTGTACTCCAGTCATAGTTGTTTAAATTTATAATATGTGTGTTTTTAAAGTTATATGTGTGGTTTATCAACTATTTGGTACCCATAACTCAAGCCTCGTAGCTTACCATGGAACTAGATGGTGCTGTGTGTTAATGTCCCAACATATATTTTTTTTCATACTAACCGTTAAAACGTATTTAGGGACGAACCCGAGCGAACCGAGGATTAGTCGCTAGTCTATCTATAAATATGCAACAAACCAGATCAGTACCTTTATCTACTCTGTTTGTCAACCGATTTTCTTTTTTGTCTATTTAGTAATTATTGATCAACAAAAAAATTTTGGGAATGGTTTTTTTTATATATGTAGATAGGTAAAGAGTAAAGACAAAACAGTTCAGTACATTCTCTCCGCCATTTTTTTGTCCAATTTTCCTTTCATTTTTTTGTTTAGTAGCTATTGAAGAGTTTATTCATTAAAATATTTCGTATTATTTCAATTTTTTTATTCAATTCAATTTTTTTATTCAATTATTAAAAACAATGTATATTGTATACTACCTTATCATTAACATCAAAGACCGGCCGGACATGTTTGTCGTAGAACTCCTGAGGCGTGAGAGGACCGAAGCTGTTGTAGGCTTTCTCCTTGTTGTAGTATTCAAATGTGAACTTTTGTGGAGGAGTTCCTGTAAAATACATCAGAATAACAGTCTTACGGTGAAGGAAAACATTGTAAGGAAACAGGCATGTCTGAGAGGACCTAGCAAGTTTTCGTAAGACATGCTCAGTCCGTCTGCACTTGGCCAGCGTGATGGACTATGGCCTGATTCTCCTCATATTTAGGCCCGTGCCCAGCAGTGGGCTTAAAAAGGGCTGAATACATATATCATAATATAAATTACTTGTTATTGAACTCGACACCATTACTTGTCGAAACTTCTGGAGAAACTAATCAATGTGTTCATCCAGAATATTGGCTATTGCTATTTTTAATCTAAATTTAGTTCATATTCATTAAGGCATTATAGCATGCAGAAAGTACAAACACGCTCATTCACAAAATGTATTTATAATATTAGTGCATCTCATCATATGCATAGACTCTCATCAATTATAAACATAGATTAGTTCAAATAAATATTAAAACATGGCGTCATATTTTAATGTTTCTATATTATTTTTTCATAATATGTGTAGATTAAGACTTACCGAGACATGTCGATACAATGTTATATATAACAGCCATCTGTCTATCAATTGCACTCTGTATCTCGTCATCGGACGTATTATTAGCCACTAGTTCTCTTAATTCTTTGGCATATTCGCGCAACTGTAACATTTTTTTATAAAAATTAAGTATTTTTATATTGCATGTATCTTATTGTTTTAATTAATTAGAGATATAGAGACATATAGATAGAGACATATAGAGCGTGTGTTATGTACGTGTTTACTGATTAATGTTATGCTTTGCATTTAAAACCTATAATTATAATTATTAAGATAAAAGAGCCTTTGTGAAAATACCTATACCTTATTCTGTGCTTTTGATAATGTATATCCTGTTGGTAGTAATAATATAATAAGCAAAATATAAAGGAAAAATGTAGCAAATTTAAAGTCACCAATGAATTTCAAAAGTTAGACTTTACTAGTCCATAATATGTATAAAATTTCAACATTTTTATATTGACGGACAAACAAACTCAGGGTTTGTCAAATTTAGAGCTTTAAAAGGCATATAGCCTTACAGCTTAGCCATTACACTATCTAATATTACATTATGACTTTTAGTAGAAAACCTATTACAATTAAATCAAGTGCGTGGGCGGAGCCGTGTGCAAAAACTAGTATTATAATCCATATATAATTTCATTACCTTAGTTTTAATCAAAGCATTCATATGCAAGCTCCGTCTTGAACTGAAGGTTTCTGGGAAGCATTTCTTAGGCATTAAGCCGTGTTTGTTCACCAGGTTCACTATGAGATCCCATTGTCCACCATCGTTTATGGGATCCTAAGCAAGAAAAAAACTTTGTTAGATTTACAATAAAAAGCATTCTTTAGATAAACCATGCATTGTACATTGTACATTGGTTGTATGTGGATTATTGCTATTATTTTAATGATCACGAAATACGAATCATTATCTTTATTTTATGTACAAGCGTGCAGAGCCAGGAGGTCAAACTATATTTTTCGACGTATCAATATACATTTAATGTAATGAACGAAGTACGTAATACTAGGTGGTTGAATGCCTAGTATGTACTGCTGCTGAACTGGAGATCCTGGGTTTGAGTCCCGGCTCTGGCCAAATACAGTTAATGAGCTTTTTTTGAAACTTTCATAGGCTTAAATCGGCCAGGACATAATATATCTAGAAAAATAGTGTCATTGCTATTTTGTTCATATTTTTTTATTTTTCTGGCTCTTAAGATTTCCTAAGCCTAGTTCGGTTTTATGATATCAACAGGCATATGTACACACATACATATGTACGTACATATAGTATTGTAAAGTAATAATGCAAATTTAAACATGGAATGGTACTGGTGACGTAACTAAAGAGATAATAACTGTTGCTGGCGGAATGCCATTCCAAATATAAAATGTTTCCAAAAAAAAATTTATTAACCTGAAATATTAAAAATCGATGTGCTTAAATAAACACGTCATTTTTATTTAAATTTTCTATTGCCATTAATTCTTTTGAATGAACTTATTGAGTAGGTATTGTTTTCAATATTAGTATTAAAAAGTGAAATTGTCATTTAATCAGCTGTTTGAAACTTTTTGTTTTATAAATTATATCTATCTACATATACGTAGGTGGGTAAGGTAGTATGGAAAATAATAATTTAGGGTATTAAACACAAAAGAGAACAATTTCTTCATTCTATTCTGATGTATGTTGAACTGGCTCGCTTTGAAAGCTATTAACAAGAAAATTGAATTAGCTCTGACAAAGTCGGGGTAGTAATTTGTATGCTAGTATTATAATAAGAATTGCATTCTAGAACACATCAATCTACGGGCATGACGATATTGACTCTGATATCTTCAGATCTTAACACTTAAGATATGATAAACTTTTGTTCATTCGGTATTGTTTGCTTTTTACAACTGTTTAAATATTAAGACAACTATGTAAATAAATAGACTGATTTAATGATAGTACTGCTAAAACCAAGTATAATCAAATGTATTACATTATTATATTGTAAAACTAACGATTTAACCTCGCTTCGCTTGGATGTGTCCCTAGCAGTTTAAGAAAGGTAAATTCGAATTTTGCTTAACTTTTTAGGGTTTTCGATTTTTACAATTAAGATATATTTAACAGCCTATAATTGAAGTGCATTTATTACCTTTAGAAGAAAATTGACTAAGCGTCCTCCCAATTCTTCTCCTTGCTTCGCTGTCTCCACTATATTGTTTAACCAATAGTGAGATCTTTCTATTTTATCCCAGAAGAAGAGATAGCTGTAAATAAAACATAATTAAGACCAATTTATAAGGCATATAGCTGTGTTTCAATTACTGGATCATGGGCAGATTCTCCAAAGATAAATATAACATGATAACCCATCTAATAAGAAAATTTTGATTTTGGCATCTGTACTAATATTATAAAGGGGCAAAGTTTGCTGAATATGCTAATCTCAAGAACTAGTAATCCGATTTGAAAAATTCTTTTTGCATTAGACAGCCCGTTCATTGTGGAAGGCTATAAGCGATATGCTACTGCCCAACAGAGCGGAGCAATATTGATTAACGCGGGTGAAACTGCGGCGCATAGCTGTTTCACATAGAATATGTTGTATTGGCATTATTCAAATATATTACTATTCACTATTTATTTAAACAATAAGTTGTGTATGCTATGCAATTAATTTTGGGGATATGCATGAGATTTTTGTTTTGTGCAAATTTTTTTTTGTAATCATCTCTTATTGTGTTAATAAACAATTTATAATCTTTCACTATTTTTTTTACTTCCCTTTTTGCCTAACTTGTTTTACTATGTTTTATTCCGGGTTATAGTCTGTCTGTATACAACACTAGCGACTCACCCTTGCTTCACTCAGGTTCCTAGCTTGCTTCCCAATACAAACTATCATCCACATTTTCACCCCCTTAAGGAATGATTTCCAGGATAAAAAGTATTCTATGACCTTCCCAGGGTCTCAAACTATCTTCTTACCAAATTTAATCCAAATTGGTTCAGTAGATCCAGAGATTACCCCCTACAATGTCGCGAACTCAAACTCACAAACTTTACCTCTTTATAAAATTAGTATAGATTTTATCTTAAACAACTCAGCCATTTCAGTATGTATAAATAACAAAAATACAAACACGTACATACAAACTTTTGCAATATTAATTGTAGTTCAATATTTAACAAGTTACTTATCATAAAACAGATCTGGTTTCATCATTAGGTTTCATACTGGAAAAGTTAAAAATGTGCTAATTTACAATCATCACTTTCAATTATTTCATTTGTGTTTGAAATCAGACAGTATCTACATTTAGGGGTATATATATATTTTTTAGGTAAATAATGTGTATGAAAGTCATTCATACCTTTGTGAAAATTCAAACTCTTCAATACCATATTTTTTCATAAATGGCAATCTCATAACATTGAGAACAGCAAATAGCCAACACCTGCCAGTATTTTCTTGATTTGTAACTGGTTTGCCTTCTGAATCAATCTGATAAGTAAAGATTAATATTAATAGGTATGACTTCGTATGAATGTCAAAAAGTAAGGATGTAAAGTTTTATAAATAAAATTGTTACCTTAATATTATAAACATGTAGACATTTATCTGTCTTCCTTTTACTGATAGCTACTTCAAACGGATCAAATCGTGAACATGCATTTTGTGCAAGCTCATTCTTAGGATCAGCATAAAAATTGTTTCTTAAATTTTCTAATTTTTCTAGACTTAAAGGTTCTGTGAAAATTTAAAATACATATTAAAAAGTTAGAATAAAATAATAACAAAAGTAAAAAAATATGAGATTAATCATATTGCCTTCATGCAATTATCAACAAAAATTATTATGAAATATTTATACAAAGAAGATAAAGTAAAAATGGCATATAATAAATATTCATTCCATAAAGTAAACTAATATTCGTATGTTTTGCTAGAATTAGTAACATTGCCTGCCCTCTTATATATCTATTAGCATATAAGACACTAAAAATGTATATTTATATAAATTATGTAGGTGTTTTAGGAGGTTTCTTACACTATACATATCTTTTCTATTATAAAGTAAATTAATATCTCTACTTACTGGAAGACATAGCTGCGGATAATATTCTTAATCTTAAAAGTGAGCTTGCTTTTAACAAAGCCGATTGTATGGAGTTAATATTCATTTAAGGCAAATAGCCAAATAAACAATATTATCGAGCCGGCAGATCTGGCGAATGCGTACTGCAAGACAATGAGACAAAGAGTATAGCAGAGGGGGGACACTCAAGTCATTGCTAATTTTTCTAAAGAAAGTTGCGCCATCTACTTTTCCTAACTGGTAAAAATGCTCAGTGTCTTATTTACTTGCCGATAGATGTCGCTTAAATAATATTCGATCCTGTACTAATTGTAATTAATACCAAATTAATTAAATAGATAATTAAAGACTTAAGATTATTATTTTATATACAAAAATGTTTTATAAAATAAAAAAAAAACTATCAATACTTGTTCCAAGTGGCAATTTTAATATTTTTACAAGCAATTCCTAATATTCCTATTATGGCAATACTGGTAAGTGGTAACGACAAAATTCAAATTTCCAATTACATTTTTTGGCCATTTTTTGTGTATTTTTCGTTTTTGTAGCATTTCTGATTTCTTAATTTTTTATTCATCAGACGTTGAGTCGAGATTACTCCTCCGTCCTGATACCAAGATTACTACCAAAACACACAATTTTATTATGTCTGCTACAGTGACGAATTATCGTACATACTTTGTAGTTTAGTGATATTTCGCGTAAGGACGCTTTTCTGTGGTGTGTGAGTTATAAAAAGCAACATAAAGTAAAAACACCAACAGTGGTAAGTATATACTCATTTCATAACGAATTCATGCCTGCGGTACTCAAAAGGTGTTTGCTTGCCGGCACTTTTAATCATAAAAAGTAAAGACAAAAATATAAAATAAATATAAAAATACAAAATCACCAAAGTAGCTAATAGTGGTATTAGTGGTTCTGAACCTGCCATTCCAGCTGTGATACCTCCACTTCATGATACAAATACAGGAATTTTAAAAGTAACTTTTATGCTAAATATCAAATATACACTAACATGAGTAACAACAGATGGCAGACAGCAGAGGATGAAGAGAATGCAGGGGGGGGTCTCACTTCACAAGGCATTGCTACCTCAAGGCAGGCTACCTCAGTACATTTTTTTTACCCGGCTATGTATTTCATTATTATATATCACAAGGGCTGCAGTTTAGAATTGGGGACTTGGCCCCTAGCGGAGTGGCTGGTATTTCTAGATAAGGGACGTGATAGGGAGTCGAAATGTTAAATAAAAATTGTCCGCGAACGTATGAGTAAAAAGTTATTGAGACTTAAAGTTACAACATTTCCATACATTATTTTGACATTACTACCATTTAGACACTTGGAGTCAAAACGTCACTTTCAATTGTCAAAATGATCTCCAGATGATTGTCTTTATTTGTACTTTACGTGAAATTCGAATTTTCTAGTTTTCTAGTCATTTATGGCACTCGCCGGCCGCTACCGCGGCACGCTCGCTTCGCTCGCTCGGCTCGTGCGTTGTGGCAACTGTTCTAACCTAACCTAACCAAGATATGAGGAATAATAAATAAATAATCTTAAATGTTCTAACCTAACCTAACCCAGATATGACGAATAATAAATAAATAATTAAAAATATTCACAGATAAAAAAATGATTTTTTTTTACTAAATGTACAATTGTAAAACAATATATTTTACATAAATCAAATAAAAAGTCATAAATGTATTTATAAAGTGAAAATAATATTTTTCTTTTTATTTATTTATTTATTAATAGTAATATTTTACCAACAGAAAAAGCAAAAATAATCAAATATAATCTGTTGTCATTTAAGCGGTAATATAAAACAAAGTGTCAGTTTTGCTTTTGTCAAAATGTAAGATCATTTTGTTTGTGTTGTGAAATTATTAAAATATTAAATACAATAAAGCATTAATTGTTGTGAAAATATGTATTGTACATAAAAAAGGATGCGTACTATTCGTTAAAGGTATGTTTATCTGTTGTAATCACTTATTTAGGTAAAGAAATGTATGGAAATGTGTTAGATATGTTATAACTTTAAGTCTCAATAACTTTTTACTCGTACGTTTCCTCCAAATATTTTTAATATATTTTGACTCTCTGTCACCTCCCCTATCTAAAAATACCACCCACTCCGAATGGTGGTAAAGAAATATATGAAAATGTATGGAAATGTTGTAACTTTAAGTCTCAATAACTTTTTACTCATACGTTCGCGGACAATTTTTATTTAACATTTCGACTCCCTATCACGTCCCTTATCCAGAAATACCACCCACTCCGCTAGGGGCCAAGTCCCCAATTCTAAATTTGTGCCATCACAAGAGTGGCATACTGTGCCACAACTGCTTACCCACTAGTGGACAACTTAGTAGTATCATAGTTAAAAATTTATGTAGTTGTTCATCTCTCTCTGCATCGTGGGGTCGAACCCGAGCAATTACTTCCCAAAGATTGACAAGTCTTCAAAATAAGAAAACAATATTTATTATTTCAGGTGAACTAAACCACATACCATCGACAGCAGCTGTATTATCAGAACACAGTGCTATAAGCAGAACCAGTAGGAATATGTAGTCTAAAGGTTGGTATTTGTTTACTAAAAGAAATATAATATTATAAATTTATAAAGAAGTAAAGTTTTTAAGCTTGGTTGCAGCTACCTGCTACATCTAAATTTACAATTTTACAAACTTAAATAAAATATTCTATTTTTTATATCAAAAAATTTGTTGATTTGTTTGTTTGTTTTTCTTTGTCCTGCTTTCATGCAGCCTGGGATAGACTTGATTATTCTTATCTGTAGTTAATACCAGAAGTTACCAGAGAGCTTTTACTCCCATGAGAACATTTTCTTGTGGCTGGCTGGCACTGGCAATAACTAGTAAAACAAAAGTTTTGTTACTACCTATTTATTAACTTAACAATTTTATACTTTTCAGCTGTGCCGCTTAACTATCAATGCATGCAGATGAAACCACTTCATTACGAGATGAAAATCATGCGTAATAAGATATGTTGTTTGTGACTAAAACGTACAATGTTTTAAGGAAAGACTTGTTTGCGAAAAAAAGTACAATGTTTTAAGGAAAGGCTCTAGAAAATATGGCATTGATGCAATGTTGACAAGATATTTCAACCAAGACCCTATAGAAAACTTTTTCGGGAATATCAGGAGTTATGGTGTTAGAAACATTGCTCCAAATACTGTCTCATTTGAGGGGACCTTCAAGGCTTTGATAATAAATAATTATAGTGAGCCACATTCAAGTAGAGCAAATTGTGAAGAAGATCACAATGAGTGTCTTCAAAGTTTGGACTCCTTCCTTAAAGATAAGAACATAATAACTCCTGATATCCCTGATACTAATGATACTATTCATTTTAACAGTGAAATTTGCTTTGACCAATCCATTGAAATTGATGCTGGTCAAAGCAATTATGTCTGCGGATGGGTTTTAAAGAGATTCCTTAAATTTATAATAAAAAGGTTGTTAACATTGCAAACAAACATTGTTTGAAAATGATATATCAAATGACAATAATTCATATATCTATGCAAAAGAGTACATGAATAAAAAATGGCTGTGCTATCCTAATAAAGAAGTGGAATCGTATTTCAAAGAAATCCAGAATATGACCACTACTTTTTAAAAAAAAATGTACCCAAAACAGGTTTGAAGAAAAATATTGTTTTGTTTCTGGACATGCTATCTGATTGTCCTTTTAAGTGTGTTGAACATAAAAATAAATTAAAAACATATTTTATAAATATGACAATCAATGTTTTGGTTTATAGTTGGTGCAGAAGTGTCAATCGTATTTTGAGCGGCAAATTAACTGTTAAAGATGAAGATGATGAGGTCAAAATTGCAACCCAAAATTATTTTAATAAGCACAAGAATTATAAAAATAGAAAATGACCCTTTAAATAAAATTCTCTTTTCGAAAACGTAAAATAAATTCAACAAATATTGTAAGGTACTTTGGTGCCATTTTTATATTTTTGAATTCAGTAATTTTGTGGATAGGCACTGTCTGTAACAAGTATATCTTTGAGACGTCTAAAATCTTAGAGTAAAGCATTCAAAAAGGCGGGAACCAAAAATCAAAATAAATCCGCGAAAAATCCGAAAAGATAGTCTTATTTAAAATGTCAAATATTCGCGTAAATCTATGAAAGTATAAAAAATGAGATGAAATTATTACATATAAGAATTATTGTTCAATAGAAATTATTCTGTAATAAATAAAATAATGATATGATTACTCAATAAATGATTACTCTTGCAGTTATTGTTGTTTTATTTCTTTCTTTGCTTTTTTACTAATATCGTGTTCCAACAAAGGACTAAGCCGAGAGGTTTTTTCTTTGTTGGAACACTAATAGAGCACTTAATAAATCAATGGTAAAATAAATAGATATAGGTAGCTATATAGCTACCTATATATAGCATTAGTTTTGGTTAGGAAACGCAGATGGTGTTTCAAATTGATTTGCATAAAAAATCCTCAAGAGGGCACTCTTTTCCCAGTATATTACTATACTCTTTGGAGTATAGTTATAAACTGCAATGAGAACTGAGAAGGCAATATTTTATGTTAAATTATAAAATTATTTTAAAATTTAATTGTGTCAATTGCCAACAAAGCCAATAGGGCTTATCACTTACGGGAGCGAGACAGGCGTACGATGAACCTACCCTACCCCAGCCTGCAAATTTATGATATTTGCAATGAAAAAATTACTAATCGATAGATTTTCAATAGCTCAATTTAACTACGTAGCCCTTTCAAATTGCTCACCTTTAATTATTTAATTAAAAATCAATAAAGTCTTTGAAAAAAAAATAATTTATCTGTATATTCAAACTCCTATATCTTTTGATGTATACAATATTTCAAATTGCTCAAAGTTCTAAAACACTGCTCAAGTTGCATTTGTAATTGCTCAAGTAGAGTTTTTACCAGCTCCACTTTCGCTGATTATTAAATAATTAAAAGTATAGTTGTAATAAATGTAACGTAGGTTAAGTGAGCGTGCGCATGCGCACCGCGCATTGTCGGTCGGCCTCGGCGGGCTTGGACAATCGTTCCAATTCAACGTCTTAATTCTGTTTCTCGGTGGATTTCTTTAAATTTATTGAATTTATGAATTGTTCACATTACGTGATTCCACTTCAGATATTATAACATAAAGAACAGATCTGGAATCTACCAATAAATGAAAATTAATACCAACAGATAAATTAAGACAAAATCTTATGTTCAAATGCTTATTCTATTAAGGTAATAGCCATGACAGGGATCATTAGTAAAATGTTATTAACATCAATACAAGACGGAACTTTTTTTATTTTTAAATATACATATAGTTTAATGACATTTTTATTTCAAAGAAACAAACTGCATGAATATAAACTGCCTTTAATATAAAGAAATTTTGAACTCTGATCAGCAATCAATAATTTAATAATACTGCTACGATCCTTTTTAGCTCCTGGAAGCGCCACAAACATTCCATCTCTTGATGCTGAGCTGATCGCCTCTCGGATGTTTTATTTATATTTATTTAATAATTAAGGAAAGTGGAGCTGGTGAGAACTCTACTTGAGCAATTACAAATGATACTTGAGCAGTATTTTAGAACTTTGAGCAATTTAAAATATTGTATATATCAAAAGATATAGAAATTTGAATATACGGATAAATGAATTTTTTTTCAAGGACTTTATTGATTTTTAATTTTATAATTAATGGTGAGCAATTTGGAAGGGCTACGTAGTTGAATTGAGCTATTGAAAATCTATCGATTAGTATTTTTTTCATTGCGAATATCATAAATTTGCAGGCTGGGGTAGGGTAGGTGTACGATGATAAGTCAAATCGTTTTGCAATCACCTGTTTTCATTCAATGTTATTTGACATATTCACTCACAGATAAGTAATTCAATACCACAGACCAAGAACAAGAAGTTCAATACTACGTATATAAAAAATATTGATGGCAGTGAAAATAATATATTGACGTTCAGTAGAAGTAAATATTATAATAAATTATTATATTCTAAAATATAAAATACAACAAAAGTTGCCACTAATTTGTACTATGGCAATAATTTATTTAAAAGGCGGGAATATGAAAATGCTAGTTTTAAGTGGATATTAATAATGGTGCTGCATTTTTATTGTATATTATTTAATAAAATGAATTTAATAAAATGAATTCTTTTTTTCTTTTAAAAGTAACGAGTTTCGACCAATAAACATGTATTTAGGACAGATCATTTTAGTAAAGAATAAAATCAATACTTGTTCTAACACAGTAGGTAACACTGTGAAATTAAAAGGGGTGGCTTATAAAAAGAAAAGCAAACTACATTCATCTCAAACAATTACATGAGACACTGTGTTAATAATTATTTAAAAAGTAATATAAGTGTTTTAAAAAAAAATGGCTGTGAAGGCATATGAAGATGCGTGTATGAGGGCAGAACTGTTCGGCCAACCCAAGCCAAATAGAGATGACTTTTTGTCAAAACATAAACATTTAGATGTAGTAGAATTTGAAGAAGTGGATATAAAAACTACAGAGGTACTCGTATATCTAGAATAAAAAGTATTAAATGCTTAAATATTATTATTTATGTAGACAGGTACCTACTAATTTAAAATTAAAATTTCAATTATACAACATACATACATGTAAATAGGTCAAGGTCGCAATTTATTAGTGCTATGCGGTTTTATATGTAACGCTTAGTTTTATATTAATATAAAATTTCTGTAATATAAATAACTTTTACTACATATTTTTTTCGTACGTTTGATTTTTCGTACAAATAAAAGTAGTTCTTAAAAAATGTTTTGTAAGCACATATGTATTTTGTACTTTCAGAATACAGCGATGCTCAGTGATGATTTAAAAGGAGTGAGTGGAGGTCTAACCGAACTGAATACTATACTCAATTCAACGCAAACGAAGCTAAACCGCTTAAGGGTAAGATACTTATATGTACATATTTTGACCCCAATAATATTCTTTTATAGCTAGAAAATTATAGAAAAAACAGGTACTGGTATAGTAGATAAATATGTACGTAATATAAGAGTATTAACTGTTTTTAAATTGAGAAGCAGAAGTGTTGACAATTTCCATTTTTAAATGAAGTTAGAGAAAATACCTAATAAAGTTCTAAATTTTTCAGGGAGTCTGCGGTAGCGTTACAAATTTCTTTCGCATCAAATTATCATCGAAAGATAATTTATCGTATTCTAGTGAACCAAGTTACATCGGACAAACAAATTACGATAAAGATTATATACCACCAAAAAATACAGAAATTGGCTCTATAAACACAGGCCTTGGTCCCAATGACAATGAGATGACACCTCGCGCGGGAAAATTAAAACAAAATAGCGGCGATATTAATTCCGCATTAGCGGATTTAGAAGCTATGGAAATAGTTGAAAATACCTCCTTATTATGTAAACCAGCGGTTGCAGATCATCGTAAACAAGTTTCATCTCAAGTGAGTAAGTTAGATAACCTGTTAATGCAGGCTGAAAGGGCAGAAGCGTCCTTGAAGAGTCAAAATAGACAAATGCGATCTTTTATACGATAATGCGATTTAGTTGATTCCTTTGAAAATCTTTAATGCCAAAACGAATATTTTATACTTTAAGTCAAGTAAACATGCTTAGTCTGTACAATTTTTTAGTAATAAAAGAGTAATATTTTTAAAAGAAACTCAAAATATATAAATATAGGTATTTGTTGAAAGTAATCAAATTACTTTCGTTATTTTGCTATTGTAATTTACATAATATGATTTATTTATTTATATGTATGTGTAATAATTTTAATGAGGCGGTTATTACATAATTGATTATTTTTTAGGTTTTTAAGATAATATATTTACTTTAGCATATATAATAGCAAAGCTGGTGGTTATAAAAATATAGGTTTAGATTTTTCAACTGTGTGATGCGTCGCTGGTGCTTGGTTAACATAGATAGGTATTTAATATTTAAATATAACAATTAATCAGAAGAGACAATATTAAAAAATATATGAAATGCTTAAATTTTTCTCCTCCTATAACATATTACGACTTTTAGAATAAGAAATTGTAATCAATACAAATAAAAATAATACTCATAGTATTAGACAGGTCCATAGTATTAATTCCACTAAGATTTATTTTGAACAAAGAATCGCCAATATTTAATTTACATGTTATACAGTTTTTAACATATTACTTCAGGCTTTTCAAAAATGTTAGTAATTGATTAAGCAAAATTATTTATTAAGACATAATATAACTATAATTCTGATATTTTTAAACGTTAAAATTGATATATTTATAGCATTGTGATAATGTCACTCATTCTGTATTTTAGAACTCCAATAATAAAATAAATAATATACTTAAATAAAGAGACTTTGATTTTAAATTATTATCTTCATTACTATTTTACTCTTCTTATTGTATGTATTAATGTCGTTATTTTAAACATAATTTACAAGCGTATTAGTCAAAATCTCATTCAGATCTAAAGAAAGTTTGAATAAACAAAGAAATTTTGTTTAATCTTCCTGCAAGTGAGATCAAAGTGTGATTATTATTCGACATTGGTTAGTCACACGGAACAAGGGCAAACAAAAACGAGACTATTCGAACCATGAAATGGTTTGTTATATAAATGATTACTCTACCATGAATCAATATCTTATAGTTTAGCCGCCGACATGATACTTCTATTCATTATCTCACAACTAGCAGTCGCTATAATAGCTAATTCGGTTCATAAGTATCCTTACGTGTTTCTTCTTGATGTGGGGAATGAAGAAATACAGAACTTAAACACAGAACAAATAAGATTTACTATATCAGGTGGCTCTCTAGCGATAAAATATCCTGCTACTGGAGAAGGAGATACTATCAGGCATGTGAGAGTAAGTGGAATAGATTTCGGTACAAATCTTAAAGCAAGTATTGTCCAAGGCGGTCCTGGATACAAATACGTCGTGTTAGTATTTTTAGGTAATCCAGGTGTTTCCTACAATGCTGTTGTGACACTACAAACTGAATCAAACGTTGATAGTTCTAATATGAACTCCGATACAGAAAATAAAAGCTCAGATTCTAATGATAGTGCCGAAGAAACGGATGATAGCACCCAACAAAAAACTACGTATTCAGAGAATGCACTTATAACGCAGTCAAGTTCAAATGTCTATAAGTATATTAATAGCGGACACTCTGACGTCAACGACAATGATAATGACAATGGTGATGAAACGCAGAATAATGATGAAGAGGAAGGTGATAATGAAGATGATAAAGATCAAAGCAATCAAGAGAATAGTGATGATGATATTCAAAGTGGAACTTATTTAGAGAGTGATAATTCTGAAAATACAGCTGAAATTAAACCATTAGGTAGTCAAAATGATGAACGATATGGGAAATATGAAGCGTTTAAACCTGTGATCATTGGCGGTGTAAGGTTTTATCCTCAAGCCGCTATTTATTCTCAAGATGGATATAGTAAGCCAATATATGATCAAGAAAATCATGTTGATGATGAAGAAAATGAGCAAAGCAATGATAATATAAATGACATAGATTATAAAGACAGCAACAATAATTTAAGTTCTGACTATGTATCACCTGTTGAGTACTAAAGTTAAATTGTATATATGACTTTAGAATTTTGAATAAAAATATCTTTTCGGATTCGGGATATTCGAAGCCAAAAATCAAAATAAATCCGCGAAATAATCCGAAAAGATAGTTTTATTTAAAAATGTATGACTTTAACTTATTAGTTCTTATTAAATGTATAGTTATTTGTCATAATAGAAATACATATATAAAATGTCTTGAGCTACTCGTATATTATTTATTAGTAATGTTATACGTATACAAGTACGTATGTGTTTTAAAAAAATGCTTGTAAAAAATATATACCTATAAACATTTATTTTAAAATATATTTAGCTTATTTAAAAAAATGCTGACAGGTGAATTTAATGACTTTAAAGGTACAACGGCACAGGTATTTAACCAGAATTAATTATTAAAAAAAAATAAGAATATTAGTTAACAATTGGTGAAAATATCTCATAACACATAAAAAATATACACCCAAAATTTAGTACCTTTTCCGTTTTTGAAATTGGCCAAGTTTCAAGAAAAAAACATTGGCCGATATCACCAACGTCACCCAAGTTTAAGGGATCCCCTAAGCATGGTTAGGGGGCTGTTAAGGGACAGTTTCTGTTTCACCGACAGTTAGGGGTCACCTAAAAATAAAAAAAATAATAATTTAAAATGCCACCTAAGTATAGGTACTAGAAATACGGGCTCTGACGATGGTAAACGAAATTTAATTTAGGGGCTAGTTTAGGGGAACTTTTAAGCTGGGGATCCCATACGTAGGTGGTAGCTTAAGTGATGTTGGTGAAAATGTCCAATTATGTCTTATTGTTAACATTACGTATATAAGTATATGTAGCTATGCGAAAATGGATACGGAATTATTTAAGAATTTATTCACGTCTTTCCAAAAACCGTTAACCATTTTGTAAATCACTACCGATTCACCCTGGCATCACTTGTGTGCGTCACTACGAGCCTATAACAATAACCGATCAAGTCTCTTCCCATTTTTTTCAACTCAACGGCCATATTTTTTTCGACTTTAATTAAAGTTATTTTGATTTCTGATAGTAAACACATTTTTATTGTAATAAAAAAAACTATAGTATTTAGCGGTAATTCAGCTTCCTATTAGTGAAAGAATTGTCAAAATCGGATCTGTAATTTCAGAGATTACATGTTACATACAAACTTTACGTCTTTATAATATTAGTGTAGATGAGAATTTGTGATTTGTCATTGATGAAAAAATTAATTATGATAAGGCGTAATTAATTTCTAATAATACATATATATGCAGTTTACGTAGTTTAGTATATCAATGCTTTGCGGTTGCATTTTCCATACAAGTCTTACCACTCTTTTTCACTCTATGTTTTATTACATAGATACTAGCGACTCAATCTCGCTTCGCTCGGGTTCGTCCCTAGGTACGTTTTAACTTATAGTATGAAATACAAATCTTTGAATTTCTCGGCTTTTCTGTACTATAATATGCATGTATTATACATATAAACCTTCCTCTTGAATCGCTCTATCTATTGCTGAAAACTGTATTAAAATCTGTTGAGTAGTTTAAAAGATCTAAGCGAACAGACAGCGGAAGTGACTTCATTTTATACTATGTAAAGATTTCTGACCTTATATTGAGCTAGAAATAGCTTAAGAAAGTATGTATTTTGTTTTTTTTTAGTTAAATACGAAAGCATATGATTATATGAATTATCTAAAGTTTTAGCCGTTTTGATTCAGTGGTTTGGTTTGGGCTTAAGTGAATCAGTTGGGATAAGGAACAATATACATATTTCATATAGAAGACAATAAAAACCTTATACTTAAAATTTGTGAATAATATAATAAATGTATAAAAAGTATCAAAGTATGACTTTTTAGGATATCATTGTTCTTCGGATATCATATTAAAATAGATTTTCTCGCCTCGACTCACCCTCGCTCTGCTCGGGCTCGTCCCTAGTTACGTTTTAACGTTTAGTATAGATTTTTCAGAGATGAAATCTTTTCCCGCAGTAAAAAGGATTCTATACGTTGACCCTGATAACCAGCTATCATCATACCAAATTTCATCAAAATCTGTCTAGTGGTTATCTCGTGATGCTGTCACAGATAGACAGACAGATAAAAATTCTAAAAACAATAGATAAAATATTTAGTAAATATTGAATTGAGTAATAGACAGATTTTCATGAAATTTGGTATGACGATAGCTGGTTATCCAGGTCAACGTATAGGATACTTTTTACTTAACTAGGGACGAGGCCGAGCGTAGCGAGGGTGAGTCGCTAGTATGTTCTATCATCAGGCTACTATCCAAGGGAGCGGAGCAGTATTCATAAATAAATGCCAAAAAATCGGGTAGACTTCCATACATTATTGTAAAACTGAATCGAAAGTTTGAACGCGGTCGAAGCCGCGGGTACTGCTTGTCTAGGATATAAGTATGTTACATCATGATAACGCGGACGTAACAGATATACATTTACAAACTTTCAAACTACGTGACTAGCAACCAGCTCTCCTGCCCTGCATAAATTATATGTATATCGTAATTCGTAAGTTAGTACTCTACTTTATCTTCGTATACCAGAGGATCGCTAATGTACTACGAAACGATACGATAAAATTTTGCTTTCATTACCAAGCCATCCCTTTAAAAAGCCTTTGTTAACTCTTAGCTTTGTCAATTTTCCAGTCCACTAGTTCCAGTGGCTTACAAACTTGAATATATAAGATTAAATGAAATATGAGGAGAACATTTTTATGAATGGGTTGTAATGAAACTTGCAGGTGTCACTCGAAAGGGAAGGGAGTATCCCTACCTGCCCATCTAATTTTATGTAATATTATAAAGAGGAAAGATTTATTTATTTGTATGTTTGTTTGTACCGAATGGTTCCTAAGCTACTGAACCGATTTAGATGAAATTTGGTAAGAAGATAGTTTGAGACCCTGGGAAAAACATAGGATAGCTTTTATCACGGAAACCATCCATTAAGGGGGTGAAAATGGGGATGAAAGTTTGTATGGGGAAGCAACCTAGGGATGATCCCGGACGAAGCGAGGATGAGTCGCTAGTATAAAAATAAAATGTGACACAGTTTTGAAAATCTTCTTGTTATTATTAGTTTTCTACAGACAAATACACCGCAAGCAATTATTTTTTAAGTTTACTTGCAAAAGGTTAATTCAAAAAGTTATAACTATCTGTTATCCCTCATGTCTCCATATGACCGCGCGTAGGCGTACACGTGTTGAATGACACAGACTCGATCTCCAAATGGTTTTAGCTTCCACGTGAATAATATTTATCGTCTCAAGGTTTCTTTAAATAAGGAGATGAATTAGGTAGATGATTAACGTCCTTCAGCTCTATATGAGGGCTCAGGGCTGCAATATTTGGAATAAGACCGTACATATAATTAACTATACACTTTTCCATTTCTTCTTTTATGTAATATATGTAAATACATCACATGTTTCTTATAAATACAAAATTCTATTTATTTTGCAACAACACAAGTGTCCTGTAAAATGAGGATGACATTTTTTTCATAGTGAATGTGATTCTGTTTACTCCTGCTTATACATAGGTTCGACCATTAGGTACGGTACGCGGCCATACCATACGGTAGGCGGCCATCAAAGATAATAATAATAATAAATATGTCGGGACATCACCATCTAGTTCCATGTTAAGCTACAAGGCTTGTGTTATGGATACCAGATAGTTGATACACTACATTTATATAACTTCAAATACATACATATTATAAATAACAACATCCATGACTTTAGTACAAGCATTCGTACTCATCACACAAATGAATATCCCCAGCGGGACAAGAACCCGCGACTGCTGGCACAGCAAGTAGGGTGGCCACTACAAACTGAGCCAAACGTGTCGTCAAAAATAGGATCTCAGTGACATACGTTTATGTATGTATACAATATTTAATAGTAATTAATTTCTTATTTAGATACACATTTATTTTTTCTAAACAGTAAAGTCTAAAAGACAATAAGTTTTCACCAGCACGTGCCCGAAACATATATATATTATATATATATATATATATATATATATATTATATATATATATAATATATATGTTATAATATATATGTATGTTATATATATATATATATATATATATAAATATATGTAATAGATGCTGCAACCTTTGAAGCATTAGGCAATTTCAATCATAGCGGTCCCAATACACCACAACGATTGATACTTTTGATAGCTACTGTGTCTATTTAAATTAGAGCTACGGTATATGAATATACATTTTAAAATAAATAAATATTGAAATTACGTTAAAAGTAATGTAAGAGCAAAAGATAAACGATAATATATTTAAAAAATCGATATAATTTCGGTTTTATGATTAAAAATAAAGGTTTTAAAGCGTCTAAGAAAATAATGCAGTATTCAATAGCCTCCGCAACATTATAATACTTAATGAAGGCCATATTTTTCTCTGCATCTGCACTGGTGTTTCTTTATGTAATAGGCATATTTTTTGCCCTCTGTAGTCTGTTTCTGCCGAATTGCATTCGAAAAGAGCGTTATTATAATCGAACGAAGCTACTCGAAGTAGCCATTTGAAATTCTAGCCTGAGACATTGCAACGATTTTTCTAACGTTTTCAAAATACACTATATGTAAGGAATTTCATATTACTAATTAAACATCCGTTATGTAGGCTTAAGGTTTTTCAAAATTGATAAGATAAGATTGAGACTTTTATATGAGCAGGTCACTAGAATAAAAATAGCCTTAAATTATGTCTTTAGGTACACATATTTAAAAGAAAGGTAAACCAGTGATCGAACGCTAACACTCAGTATTTACTTGTGTTTTGAAGTTGTATATCATATCAAGAAAATATAAGCCAAATAGAAAATGTCAATTTAATTCTGCTTACTCAATAGACATAAAAGGTAAGTTCTACGCAGGACGAATATGTTCATTTCGCATTGACGATATGAACAGTTTT